AGGGCATTTAATTAAGTGCTATAATAATGTGGTAAGATGACTGGAATGGAACAAGGAATACGAGATTGGTGACGATTCTACTATGAGACGAAGCAGATTAGTTAGTGTAATTTTATGATTGTTGTATTGTTGTATTGCTGATGTGTTGTTGTAATTGCCTTTTTGTAAATCGCTTTTTATACTGTACACCGCCATGAGTCGCCCTGGAGGGCTGAGAATGGCGGTTAATAAATGCATCAAATAAATAAATAAATAAATCACCTGGGAAGGAATCCCACTGGAGCATTGCAGCGCACCCAAATACCTGGGAGTCACTTTGGACCGTGCTCTGACCTACAAGAAACACTGCCTGAATATCAAACAAAAAGTGGGTGCTAGAAACAATATCATACGAAAGCTGACTGGCACAACCTGGGGATCACAACCAGACACAGTGAAGACATCTGCCCTTGCGCTATGCTACTCTGTTGCTGAGTACGCATGCCCAGTGTGGAACACATCTCACCACACTAAAACAGTGGATGTGGCTCTTAATGAGACATGCCGCATTATCACGGGGTGTCTGCGCCCTACACCACTGGAGAAATTACACTGTCTAGCCGGTATCGCACCACCTGACATCCGCCAGGAAGTTGCAGCCAATAGTGAAAGGACCAAGGCAGTGACATCTCCAGCTCATCCCTTGTTTGGGTATCAGCCAGCACGTCAACGACTTAAATCAAGAAATAGTTTTCTAAGATCTACAGAGACACTCGCTGGAACACCTCAGCAAGCGAGAGTCCAAAAGTGGCAGGCTCAAAACCAGAACCTCAACCAATGGCTGATACCAAATGAGAGACTCCCCCCTGGGCACACAGAAGACTGGGCGACTTGGAAGGTGCTCTGACACCACGAGATGCAGAGCCAACCTTCAGAAATGGGGCTACAAAGTGGAATCCACGACATGCGAGTGTGGAGAAGAGCAAACCACTGACCACCTGCTGCAATGCAGCCTGAGCCCTGCCACATGCACAATGGAGGACCTTCTTGCGGCAACACCAGAGGCACTCCAAGTGGCCAGATACTGGTCAAAGGACATTTAATCAACTACCAAACTCACAAACTCTGTGCCTTTTGTATGTTTGTTCTGTCAAAAATGTAATACAACTGTTCGGTTGCCTGACACGATAAATAAATGACTAGATGATGATGATGATTATTATTATTACAAAGGTTGGATGGCTATCTGTTGGGAGTGCTTTGATTGTGCTTTTCCTACAATGCAGAATGGGGTTGGACTGGATGGCCCCTGGGTTTCTCTTCCAACTCTTAAGGATTCTCACTACAAGTTCCATGATTTCTTAGCATTCGTTCTACATTTGCATCCAGAGAGAGAGAAAGAGTTCCATTCCAACAGAGAGAAAACTTCCTTTGGCGCTGGAAGTAAAACTGTGCCAAAGGAAGAGGAGGAGCCCAACGCGCAGGCGCAAAGGCGGCTTGGGGGCGTGGCTGAGGAAAGGCTCGGGGGCGTGGCCAATCGGATCCCTCTCCTCCCATTGGTCCTTTCCTAGGAAGAAAGGCGGGAAGCTTGAAATCTCTTCCTTTGGAAAGGCAGCCGCGCAGGAAGGCAAGTAGGTTTTCAGAGTTTTGGTCTTCCCTTATTGATCTACTAGAGAGGAAGATAGTGAATGCGATTACAACTTGGCTTAAGGCAGAGAGAGAGAGAGTGTGGGGTTAAGGCTACCGCATTGGTCTTTTCGGACTTCAACTCCCAGAATTCCAGGCTGTTGGCCAAACTGGCTGGGGCTTCTGGGAGTTGAAGTCTGAATCGGAGGAGCCACGCTTGGGATGTTTGCAGCACAACGGGGGAGAACCAAGGTGCATCTGCACTGTAGAATTAACACAGTTTGGCACCACTTTCACTGCCATGGCTCAGTGCTAGGGAATCTTGGGAGCTGTAGCTTGACACTCTTTGGCAGAGAATACTGGAACTCCCATGATTCCATAGCATTGAGCCATGGCAGTTAAAGCGGTGCCAAACTGCATTAATTGTCCAGTGTAGATCCAGCCCCAGCCCCCTTCTACATTGCCATATATAATCCGGATTATCTGCTTTGGACTGGATTATAGGGCAGTGTAGACTCATATACTCCAGCAAAGGATCACCGCCTTGTTGTGGCGCTGGAGCTTGAGCACCTCAATGATGTCATGAGCGAAACCGTGAAGGGCCACCCAAGACGGGACGGTCGTGGCAGAGAGGTCAGACCAAGCGTGATCCCTGGGGAAGGCAACGGCAAACCACCCCAGTATCCTTGCCAAGAAAACTAAATGGACCAGTACAACCAGAGAAGGCAAAAGGAAGAGGGGCCGACCAAGGGCAAGATGGATGGATGGCATCCTTGAAGTGACTGGACTGACCTTGAAGGAGCTGGGGGTGGTGACGGCCGACAGGGAGCTCTGGTGTGGGCTGATCCATGAGGTAATGAAGAGTCGGAGGCGACTGAACGAATGAACAACAACAGACTCATATAATCCAGTTGAAAGCAGATAAAGTGGATTATCTGATTTGATAATCTGGATTATATAGCAGTACTAGCTGTCCCCTGCCACGCATTGCTGTGGCCCACATAGGGGTTCTGTGTGGGAGGTGTAGCTTAATTCTATCGTTGGTGGGGTTCAGAATGCTCTGTGATTGTGGGTGAACTATAAATCCCAGCAACTACAACTCCCAAATGTCAAAATGCTATTTCCCCCCAAAATCCACCAGCCCACCAAACCCTCCCAGTATTTTCTATTGGTCATGGGAGAACTGTGAGCCAAGTTTGGTTCAATTCCATCGTTGGTGGGGTTCAGAATGCTCTTTGATTGTATATGAACTATAAATTCCAGCAACTATAACTCCCAAATGTCAAAATGCTATTTTCCCCCAAAATCCACCAGCCCACCAAACACTCCCAGTATTTTCTATTGGTCATGGGAGAACTGTGTGCCAAGTTTGGTTCAATTCCATCGTTGGTGAGGTTCAGAATACTCTTTGATTGTATATGAACTATAAATCCCAGCAACTACAACTCCCAAATGTCAAAATGCTATTTCCCCCCAAAATCCACCAGTATTCACATTTGGCCATATTGAGTATTCGTGTAGAGTTTGGTCCAGATCCATCACTGTTTGAGTCCACAGTGATCTCTGGATGTAGGTGAACTACAACTCCAAAACCAAAGGACACTGCCCAACAAACCATTCCAGTATTTTCTGTTGGTTATGGGAAAACTGTGCCAAGTTTGGTTCAATCCCATCGTTGGTGGAGTTCAGAATGCTCTTTGATTGTAGGTGAACTATAAATCCCAGCAACTACAACTCCCAAGTGACAAAATCATAATTTTTTGAGTGATGGTCACTCCTTGTGTTGTGAGACGTTTTGTTGCCAAATTTGGTGTGATTTCGTTCATTGATTCTTTTGTTTTTAAGGAGCTCATTATGCACAGAGCATTTATATATAAGATAGAAGGGACCGCAATGTCACCCCACTAACAGAGCTGCTGGACACCGTATTACATGCTTTTGCTCCAATGACAGCATTGGAGTTGCGTCTTATGCAAAAGATTTTATCTGCAAAATGGTTATATTTATTTTATTTCTTTTACCTCCCAAAGCTGCTTTTATTTTTAATTAGCGCAATACAATTGCATGGATACATTGATCATTCCCAGTCTATGCTCCCCTGCTCTCCATTGCACACAACTTCGTACAAACCTATAAACCTTCCTCATGCTGTGACCCCTTAATACAGTTCCTAATGTTGTGGTGATCCCCAATCATAAAATTATTTTTGTTGCTACTCCATACCTGTAATTTTACTACTGTTATGAATCGTAATGTAAATATCTAATATGCAGGATGTATTTCCATTCACTGGACCAAATTTGGCACAAATAGCAGATAAGCCAAATTTGAATACTGGTGGGGTTAGGGGGAGGGGTTAGGAGTCCCCGGTGGCGCAGTGAGTTAAACCCCTGTGCTGGCAGGACTGAAGACCGACAGGTCGCAGGTTCGAATCCGGAGAGAGGCGGATGAGCTCCCTCTATCAGCTCCAGTTCCTCATACGGGGACATGAGAGAAGCCTCCCACAAGGATGATAAAAACATCAAATCATCCAGGCGTCCCCTGGGCAACGTCCTTGCAGACGGCCAATTCTCTCACACCAGAAGCGATTTGCTCCTGACACGACAAAAAAAAGGGGGGGGGGAGTTGATATTCTCGTTTGGAAGTTGTAGTTGCTGGGATTTATAGTTCACCTATCAAAGAGCATTTTGAGCTTCACCAATGATGGAATTTAATCAAACTTGGCACACAAAATTCCCATTACCAACAGAAAATACTTGGAAGGTTTTGGTGGGCACTGACCTTGAGTTTTGGAGTTGTAGTTCACTTACATCCAGAGAGCATTGTGAACTCAAACAATGATGAATCTGGACCAAACCTGGCATGAATACTCAATATGCCCAAATGTGAACACCAGTAGAGTTTATGGAAAATAGGCCTTGCCATTTGGAAGTTGTAGTTGCTGGGATTTATAGTTCACCTACAATCAAAGAGCCCTTTGAACCCCATCAATGATAGAAGTGGGCCAAACTTCCCACACAGAACTCCCATGAACAACAGAAAATATTGGAGGGATTTGGAAAGAATTGACAATGATTTAGGGGAGATGTAGTTCACTTTACTCCGGGGAGTGTTGTGAACCCAACAGCGATGGATCTGAACCAAATTAGGCACAATTTTGGTGGGAGGATTCACTGTCTGTTTCCAAAAAGGAAGAGAAGGACAAACGGAAAGATCTTCAGCCTTCTCTGCCAAAAAGGATCCTAGGACCATCAGAAATACGTGTTTTCTGATGGTCTTCGGCAATCCTTCTGAAGCCCCCCAGGTTGAGAATCGCTGTTCTAATATATGAATCCAGAGGGGAGGGTCCTTGAGTTTAACCTCTCATTTACCTTTTTCTCCCCTTGACTGCAGAAAATCGTGTTATTTGAACTCAGAAGAACTGTTGCCTGATGAAAAGAAAGAGCCGAACCCCAGCGGAGAAACACCATGAGTCTTGTGGTGTCTGGCTGGATGCATCAGCACTCAAAAGATGCAAATTACAGGTAATGGAACAACAGGGTTAGAAAAAAATATTTTAAAAACTTCACACTTCTCATAAGATTGAGGAAAAATGATTATATTCCATCCATTGCAAGACGCCGTCGATTGTAAGACATACCCTAGTTTCAGGACCACCATCACCAACGCAAATACATAAGGCACACCTGCAATTCTAAGACGCACCCCATTTTTAGAGGTATATATAGGGGGAAAAAGTCCATCTTGCAATTGAAAAAAAATAGTATGGCATTCTTTGCAAAGCTCCAAATTTTGAGATAGATAGCAATTCACAGCTGTGGTCCTTCTGTTCTATAGGCAAATACAGACAGTCCCCAAGTTGTTCTTACGTTGAATTTGTATGTAAGTTGGAACAGGTACATTTTAAAGTGTAACTCCAGCCAAATATAGCATATGGAAGGGTTAACATCCCTGTGGGGTTTGCTTTTCTGTCTGTGCCCCATCCAGGAGATTCATTTCACTTTCTTTCCCTGGGAGAATGGGATTTTGGGAAAATTGGCTTCTAGTGGAAACAAGGATTGATGATAAAGCTTCAGTGGAGACCCCTTTTCCCCATGATAATAACTCTTCCTCTCTCTCACTTCCTGTTGTTTCGCCCCCATTCTTAACTAGAAGTCATTTGTAACTCAGATGTTTGTAACTTAGGGACTGCTTGTATCCTGAAGGACTCTTCCTATTTATTCTATTACTAACCATCCCCTGCCACGCATTGCTGTGGTCCAGTCTGTGTATATATGTTTTGTGTTTGTATATGTGTGTGTGTGTATATATGTGTATATATGTATGTTTGCATATATATATGGGTGTATATATGTGTGGAGGTATATGAGTATAAATTTTTGTATTTATGTATTTTTTTTTTGTATTTTTGTATTTCTGCCCCTGCCTTATGGAATTCCTTGCCTCCCTATATGAGAGCCATACGTGACTTAGGGCCTTTTACTCTAGCACTTAAGACCTGGCTTTTCACTAGTGCATTTGACCCATGTTAATCATTAATTTCTGTATGTATGTATTTTTATCTTTTACAATTTAGCTTGTAAATCGCCTAGAGCATCTCGGATGGAGGGCGATTAATAAGTAATTAAATATGATATGATATATGTATTTATATGTGTACATGCATATTGTGTATATGTGTGTGCTTGTCTACAAGCATATTTGTGTGTATATATGTATGTGTATGCATGTATGTGTATGCATGTATGTGTGCATGCATGTGTGCATGTGTATATGTATATATTTGTGTATGTATATGTGTGTGTGTGTATATGTGTATATTTGTGTGTGTTTGGGCATATATGTGTGTGTGTATGAATGTGTGCATATGTATATGAGTGTATATGTATGGTGTATTTTTGCAGGCTTTAAGTCTGCTTAGCTGGGGTTGTGTGTGTGTGTGTTTAGGGGTGATGGACACTAATTGGACTGTTAGGTGTATTGTGTCCAAATTTGGTGTCAATTCGTCCAGTGGTTTTTGAGTTATGTTAATCCCGCAAACTGACATTACATTTTTATTTATATACTAGCTGTACCCGCCACACGTTGCTGTGGCCAACCTTCCCTCCCTCTTTCTCTCCTCCCTTCCCTCTTTCCTTCCTTTCTCTTTTTCTTTCCCTATCTCTCATCTTTCTTCCATCTCTACCTGTTTCTTTCCTCCCTTTCTTTGCTCTTTGGTTTCTTCCTACCATTCCTCCTTCTTTCCTTCCTCCTTCCTTCCTTCCTTCTTTCGTTCCTTCTCTCCTTCCTTCCCTCTCTTTTTCCTTTCACTTTTTAAATTACTTCTTTCCTTCCTTGCTTCTCTATCTTTCCTTCTTTCCCTCCCTCCTTCTCTCCTTCTCTCCTTCCTTCCCTCTTTCCTTCCTTCTCTCGTTACTTCTTGTCTGTCCCTTCCATTTAATATTGTATTTATATCTTACATAGAAAGAAGGAAAGGAAGGAGGGACAGGAAGGAAGGAAGGAAGGAAAAAGGACGGGAGGGAGGGAAAGAAGGGAAGGAAGGAAAAGAAAGAAGGAGGGACAAGGAGGGAGGGAGGAGAAGGAAGGAAGGAGGGAAAGAAAGGAGGGGGATGAAGGAGGGAAGGAAATGAAGGGGAAGGAAATGAAGAAAGGGAAAGGAGGAGGAAAGGGAGGGAGGAAGGAAAAGAAGGAAAGGAAAAAGGAAGGAGGGACAGGAAGGAAGGGAAGGAGGGAAAGAAGGAAAGGAAGAAGGAAAGAAGAAAAGGAAAGGGAGGAAAGAAGGGAAGGGAGGGAGAGAAGGAAGGTCCTTCATTCAAGCACCGCGGATCTTCCTCGCCTCCTCCTCCTCCTCCCCCCCTTCTTCCTTGCGTGGAGCACTCCGTTGCTGCTGCTGGCACTTTCCAACAGGGAAAAGAGGAGGAGACTGCTCTCCTGACATAGGAGGGAAAGAGAAGGGGCTGCATGCAGCGTGCCTCCACCTCCACTCCACTCGCTTGTGTGTGTGGCCGTGCACGTGCGCCTCGCTTTAACGGCCAGCTGTTTACCCGAGAGGAGGAGGAGGGGGCGTGGCCATGGGTCTCTGTAGACATGCAGTTTCCCCTTTGTGGACATGCAGTTTAGAAGTCCTTTCTGCTTTTTGTTTTCGTTGGGTTTTTTTTTGAGTGGAGAACATACATTGGGTTCTTAGGGACATAAGTGTCCAAATTTGGTGTCAATTGCCCCAGTAGTTTCTGAGTTCTGTGAGTAGCACAAACGAACATTACATTTTTATTTATATAGACTAGCCATCCCCTGCCAGGCGTTGCTGTGGCTCACATGGGGTTTCTGTGTGGGAGGTTTGGCCCAATTATATTGTTGGTGGGGTTCAGAATGCTCTTTGATTGTAGGTGGACTATAAATCCCAGCAACTACAACTCCCAAATGTCAAGATTCTATTTTCCCCAAACTCCACCAGTGTTCACATTTGGGCATATTGAGTATTCTGAGTTTGGTCCAGATCCATCATTGTTTGAGTCCACAGTGATCTCTGGATGTAGGTGAACTACAACTCCAAAACCAAAAGACACTGCCCACCAAACCCTTCCAGTATTTTCTGTTGGTCATGGGAGAACTGTGTGCCAAGTTTGGTTCAATTCCATCGTTGGTGGGGTTCAGAATGCTCTTTGATTGTAGGTGAACTATAAATCCCAGCAACTACAACTCCCAAATGACAAAATCAAAATTTTTTGAGTGAAGGACATACATTGGGTTGTTAGGTGTCTTGTGTCCAAATTTGGTATCAATTCGTCCAGTGGTTTTTGAGTTCTGTTAATCCCACAAACAAACATTACATTTTTATTTATATAGATAGATAACATTGCATTACAGTGGTGTAGTACAATATAGTAATATATAATATTAATATTGTGCTATGCTAATTATATAATATATTGTATATAAGGTACATATAACTTGTAAGCCGCTCTGAGTCCCCTTCAGGGTGGGAGAGAGGGCGGTTCATAAAAATAGTAAGTAAGTAAATAAATAGATATGCTGGGGGCCTAAAAAGGCATATGCTCCTTGCCTGCAGCAAAGTCACACTGGAGGATATGGCACGGGTGAGATAGACTGGTTTCTCCATAGACATGAGACTGGCCTGTTTTGAGGGCCTGAGGCTTGCAGGAGAAAGAGCACATGCCGATCATTCATCCGTGCCAATGAATGATCACCATGTGCTGTTGGGAGGCAAGTGTGAATGTTGCAATTGGCCATTTAATGCAAATACTATATTGTACTATATCAATCCCGACAAGACAGAGGTCCTCCTGGTCGATCGCAAACCGGATCGGGGTATAGGGTGGCAACCCCCTGAAGTCACAGGTCTGCAGTTTGGGAGTCCTCTTGGATTCATCGCTCACGCTTGAGCTCAGGCGTCGGCGGTGTCCGGGAGGGCTTTTGCACAATTGAGACTCGTGCGCCAACTGCGACCGTACCTCGCGAAGGCTGATCTGGCCGGGGTGGTCCATGCCTTGGTCACCTCTAGATTGGATTACTGTAATGCGCTCTACGTGGGGCTGCCCTTGAAAACGGCTCGGAAATTCCAACTGGTCCAACGGGCAGCAGCCAGGATGCTAACTGGGGCTCCTTACAGAGAGAGGTCAACCCTCCTGTTCAAGGAGCTCCACTGGCTGCCATTTATTTTCCGAGCCCAATTCAAGGTGCAGGTGCTTACCTACAAAGCCCTAAACGGTTTGGGACCTGCCTACCTGAGTGACCGCATCTCCATCCCACACGTTCACTTCGGTCATCTGGTGAGGCCCTGCTCGTGATTCCGCCTGCGTCACAAGCGTGGCTGGTGGGGACACGAGACAGGGCCTTTTCTGTGGTGGCCCCCCGACTCTGGAACACCCTCCCCAAAGATCTTAGACAGGCCCCTACATTGGCAGTCTTTAGAAAGAACTTGAAGACCTGGCTGTTCCGATGTGCCTTTCCAAGGAATCTCCAATAACAAGTCCTCGAAGCACTTTTAGTAGAACTAAGATTATTGCACACCGCACACTGCACTTGCCCTATAATCCTCGTATACCACCTGCCACATCAGCACTTTTAATCCTGTACCCATTACTCTGGCCCGGCCCAGTTTTTATTGTGTCTTGATATACTGTCTATTGCATGTCGTTAATATTGCTTTAACTGTTTTTAATTTTGCTTTTGGTGTTATATTGTTTGTGTTGTGTTTTGTGGCCTTGGCCTTTGTAAGCCGCATCGAGTCCTTCGGGAGATGCTAGTGGGATACAAATAAAGTTAATAATAATAATAATAATAATAATAATAATAATTAATAAATAAATACAAAACTTTATTACAGTCGCTGACCAGCACAAAGTGGGAAGGGGAAGCACAACTCCCCAGTGAAGCAGTTATTTAAAAAAAACCAGATTAGAAAATTAACACAGGTTAATGTAACAGGTATGGAACCAAGGGGGGGGGGGCTGATAGGAGGGGTCAAAGCACTGGGTGGGGGGCACTAGAGGGGATGGGAGGGACACATTACAAGTCTAGTAGCATTTCAGCTGTAACATGTTGGTCTAACTACATTCCCAACAGGGTGTTGCCTTGCGGGGTCAATCATCACATCTAATTTTAAATGCTGCAGCACAAAACTTAGCAACACTGTAAGTCAGTGATGGGCAACCTTTTGAGCTTGGTGTGTCAAAATTCGCCAAAAAAACCCCGAGCATAACTAGGATGGGGCGCCACTTTGAGGAAAAAACCCATAATTTTGCAATATTTATAGTTTAGATAACAAAAATGCATTCTTCTTAGGCGATCCCTCGCTTTCCGAGGATGATTGTCTTCCAATATTCTTGTGGGTCCGTATGTGGCTGTGGAGCCCTATTCTTGCTCTGCATCTTCTTCCGCAGTGAGGGCATTGGTTTCCAGGTGGAAGGCGGTCTTGGCTGGGGTTGGCTTGACGCGCCTTCCTCTTGGCACGTTTCTCTTTTTCACCCTCCACTCGTGCCTCCTCAAATTCTGCAGCACTGCTGGTCACAGCTGACCTCCAGCTGGAGCGGTCAAGGGCCAGGGCTTCCCAGTTCTCAGTGTCTATGCCAGAGTTTTTAAGGTTGGCTTTGAGCCCATCTTTAAATCTCTTTTCCTGTCCACCAACATTCTGTTTTCCGTTCTTGAGTTCGGAGTAGAGCAACTGCTTTGGGAGACGGTGGTCGGGCATCCGGACAACATGGCCGGTCCAGCGGAGTTGGTGGCGGAGGACCATTGCTTCAATGCTGGTGGTCTTTGCTTCTTCCAGCACGCTGACGTTTGTCCGCTTGTCTTTCCAAGAGATTTGCAGGATTTTCCGGAGGCAGCGCTGATGGAATCGTTCCAGGAGTTGCATGTGACGTCTGTAGACAGTCCACGTCTCACAGGCATATAGCAGGGTTGGGAGGACAATAGCTTTATAAACAAGCACCTTGGTATCCCTATGGATGTCCCGGTCCTCAAACACTCTCTGCTTCATTCGGAAAATGCTGCACTTGCAGAGCTCAGGCGGTGTTGTATTTCGGCGTCGATGTTGACTTTGGTGGAGAGGTGGCTGCCAAGGTAGCGGAAATGATCAACATTTTCTAATGTTACACCATTAAGCTGTATCACTGGCATTGGAGAGGGGTTGGCTGGTGCCTGCTGGAAAAGCACCTTGGTTTTTTCAATGTTCAATGACAGGCCGAGCTTCTCGTATGCTTCTGCAAAGGTGTTTAGAGTGGCTTGTAGATCTTCTTCTGAATGCGCACAGACGACGTTGTCATCAGCATACTGGAGTTCTATAACAGATGTTGTTGTAACCTTGGTTTTGGCTTTCAGTCTGCTGAGGTTGAATAGCTTGCCATCTGTCCGATAGATGATTTCCACTCCGGTGGGAAGCTTCCCATCAACAAGGTGAAGTATCATAGTAATGAAGATGGAGAATAAAGTTGGGGCAATAACACATCCATGAAAAATGCATAATTGTAATATATAACTGTATTTAATAACCCCAAAACTAATTATTTAACTTACCTGCTCAGTGACATTTTTGTTCATCCTTCAGTCAGTTTCTTTTGTTGGTCTTGATATTATTTAACTTGCGTGGGGTGCCATGAACTAAGATAAGTGAGCGGGAGGGGGAATTATTTAACTAACCTGCCTATTAGTGACTCTTTTGTTGCTGAATTTCATAGACGAAATCTTCAATTGAAGGTTGGTATTTTGTACACTTCAAGCCCAAGCAAGTGTCGTAAATAAGTAAATAATCTTGTTGTTCTTGTGGATTTAAGATAAATTAAAATACAGGGCACTCCTGAGTTACAAACACCCAACTTACAAACAACTCATCTGGTTGTTGTAAGTTTTTTCGGGCTATATGGCCATGTTCTAGAGCACTGGTTCTCAACATGTGGGTCCCCAGATGTTTTGGCCTTCAACTCCCAGAAATCCTAACAGCTGGTAAACTGGCTAAGATTTCTGGGACTTGTAGGCCAAAACACCTGGGGACCCACAGGTTGAGAACCACTGTTCTAGAGGCACTCTCTCCTGAAGTTTCACCTGCATCTATGGCAAGCATCCTCAGAGGTAGTGACCTCACTACCTCTGAGGATGCTTGCCATAGATGCAGGCGAAACATCAGGAGAGAATGCCTCTAGAACAGTGGTTCTCAACCTTCCTAATGCCACCATCCCTTAATACGCTTCCTCATGTTATGGTGACCCCCAACCATAACATTAGTTTCGTTGCTACTTCATAACTATCATTTTGCTGCTGTTATGAATAGTAATGTAAATATCTGGTATGTAGGATGTATTTTCATTCACTGGACCAAACTGGGCACAAATCCCAATACTGGTGGGATTGGGGGGAGGATTGATTTTGTCCTGTGGGAGTTGTAGTTGCTGGGATTTATAGTTCAGCTACAATCAAAGAGCATTCAGAACTACAATGATGGAAATGAATCAAACTGGTCGTGGGAGTTCTGTGTGCCAAGTATGGTTCAATTCCATCGTTGGAGTTCAGAATGCTCTTTGATTGTAAGAGAACTATAAAACCTACCTATAAATCATAATGTAAATATCTGATGTGTAAGATGTATTTTCATTCACTGGACCAAATTTGGCACAAATACCCCATACGTCCAAATCTGAATACAGGTGAGGTTGGAGGGGATTGATTTTGTCGTTTGGGAGTTGTAGTTGCTGGGATTTATAGTTGACCCACAATCACAGAGCATTCTGAACTCCACCAACGATGGAATTGAACCAAACTTGGCACACAGAACTCCCATGACCAACAGAAAATACTGGAAGGCTTTGGTGGGCATTGATCTTGAATTTGGAGTTGTAGTTGATCAACATCCAGAGAGCACTGTGGACTCAAACAATGATGGATCTGGACCACACTTGACATACATACCCAATACATCCAAATTTGCCCCACACTAGTGGAGTTTGGGGAAAACAGACCTTGACATTTGGGAGTTGCAGTTATTGGGATTTATAGTTCACCTACAATCAAAGAACACTCTACCAACGATGGAATTGAACCAAACTTGGCAGACAGATTGGAAGGGTTTGGTGGGCATTGACCTTGAGTTTGGGAGTTGTAGTTCACCTATATTCAGAGAGCACTGGAGACTCAAACAATGATGGATCTGGACCAAACTTGACACGAATACTCAACATGCCCAAATGTCTACACTGGTGGAGTTTGGGGAAAATAGACCTTGACATTTGGGAGTTGTAGTTGCTGGGATTTATTGTTTGCATACAATCAAAGAGCAATCTGAACCTTACCAACGATTGAATTGGGACAAATATCCCACACAGAACCTCCATGATCACCAGAAAATACTGTTTTCTGATGGTCTTTGGCGACCTCTCTGACACCCCCTCGCGACCGCTCCAGGGGTCCCGACCCCCAGGTTGAGAAACACTGCTCTAGAACATGGCCATATAGCCCGAAAAAACTTACAACAACCCAGTGATTCTGGTCATGAAAGCCTTCGACAATACAAACAACTCATCGTTAAGAGCGAAGGTGAGCCAACAGGAAGTGAGAAAAATCTATTGCTCAGAAGGGAAATCCAATCCTGGAAGAGTTATCATCATGACGAAAAGGGCTCTTCAATGAAGCTTTCTCTCCAATCTGTTTCCACAAGCCACATTTTCCAAAACACAATTATCACAGGGACAGAAAGTGCGTGAAATCTTCTGAACACGGAAACAGGCAGCAAAGGAAACACTACAGGAGTGCCAACCTGGCCCTATAAATGTGCCTGTTCCAACTTACCAAAAAATTCAACTTAGGCACAAACCTATGGAATCTGTCTTGTTTGTAAATTGGAGACTGCCTGTAAATCAGTTTTAATACATAGGATTTTGGATTAAATGACATATGGATGAATTTCCAAGTAATATTTCTTTCCTGCCCAGAACCTAATAGGCAAGCCAACGTTAAGAATACTGAACCGGCTCCCTTCTTATTCTTCTCCTTCAAAAGCACCTCTGCCATGCACTAAACAGACAACTATTTCTACCTTCTTCAGAGCTCAACAAACAGGTATGTTTTTTTTCCTAGAAGTTAGTCCTCTATTGTTTGTATCACAAGGAGAACATAAGTTTTTGGAATTCAGGATTTTAAAGAGCGGCCATGACTCTTGAAAGATGCATGTCTTGACGAGTCTCTTAGACAAGTCAAAATACTTAAAATGAGCAGATTTGAAAGATCAAATTATACGAGGGGTATTTTTTAAGTAAGGTCCGTTGGAACATAAGTACACAACGAAAGTTTATTTCAAAAAAGTAAATTTATTTTCAGAAATTACATACTTCACTCTATTTTTCGACATAGTTGCCAAGTTTGTTCAAACACTTATCATACCTCTGAACCAATTTTAAAATACCCTCTTCATAAAAACTTGTCGCCTGCTCCGATAACCACATCGTCTGTAATCAAAGAAGGGCGACCGGCGCGGTCCTCATCATGGACGTTGTCACGGCCATCTTTGAATTGTCGTACCTACTTACGCACTTTGCTTTCACTCATAACAGTATCACCGTACACTTCACAAATCTGTTGATGAATTTCTGCAGCAGGCAGGTTCCTTGCTGACAAAAACCGTATCACTGAGCGAACCTCACATGCGGAGGGTGAATTGATAGTCTTAAACATTTTTAAAGCACAGAACAGAACCGTACAGGTCAGCTACAGAGCGGAAACTGAGCACATTTGTTCCCGAGGCATGCCGGTACACGACGCATGCGCTTGTTGCGGTATGCGCGCAAACTACTAGTGTCTACAACAAAACGGACCTTACTTTAAAAATTACCCCTCGTAGTTGGCCATCCACATTTGCAGATTTAGCTTCCGCAGATTTAGTGTAATATGTTATTTTTCTAGATCTCTGACCAGATCGAATCCAGATTTACATATGATGTGTTCAACATGCAAGTGAAACAGATCGGGCCACCAAATGCAGACCTCTTTCCAATTGGAAACTATTGTTTCTCTCTGTTGTCTTAGCCTCTGGTCCTGAGTGCAGGAAGCACATCGGGAGACACAGCCATTTCTTTAAGAGGCAAACATAACTTTTCATGATCTACATGACCAGGGCTTTGCTAGTCTATAAAGCAGAGGGTGATTTTCTTCTGAAGTCCATTGGTGTGTTTCAGTCTCCAATGCATGTTTGCAATATCATCCCTTGTGCCTTTTCCCTCTTGAAGCTAGCTTGGACATTCGGGATTTCTCTCTCCAGTTAAGTCTTTGCAGTAGAAGTTTTGGCATTGATTTGCCTGCATTGGAAATTAATGACCTTGGAGGTGTCTACGGACAACGCCGGCTCTTCGGCTTAGAAATGGAGATGAGCACCAGAGTCGGACACGACTGGACTTAATGTCAGGGGACAACCTTTACCTTTTTAACCTTTAATGTGGTAACTCCAATCTCTGATGTCCCTTTTTTAAAAAAAATATCTTTATTAACGTTTTCATGTTACACATTCGATAAAAAGAAGATAAAAACAGGAATGGAAAAAATAGAAAGGGATAGCAAGAAAAGAAAGGGGGGGTAGATAAGAGGGGTAGGAGTTTGTGTGTAGGGCAAGGGGCGTTTGGGCGGGGGTTGCGGTTGGAGGAAGTGGGGTAGGGTATGAGGGAAGGAAAAAAGAGAGAGGTTTAAAGCCAAAGGTAAAGCATAGATTAAAAAGAAAAGATTCAAGATAAATTCTTTTTTCTTCTACGTGACTTCCAGGAGTCCTCAAGGTTGCTCTCTTCCTTTTCTTTCTTTCCTCCTTCTCTCTTCATCTCGTTGGTTTTAAACCTAATTTTAACTAGTGTTTTACATTTGTATTAAGGTCTGTCCCAACCTTTCTATCTGTTCTTTGTTTCTTTACTCTTAGTTTTTTAGCTTTAAATATTCCTTAAATGTCCCTTTTCTTGGGGATTGGAATTTATGTTGAGTATTTCCAATCTGTGGACCATTATTTAGTTTCCATATTTGTTGATAGATTTTATTTAGAACTGTAGCATGGAGCTAATAGAATCCCATTTTCTTCTTTTTTTGAAATAATTTTTTGTTAAACACACAAAATGTTTTATTGACATAAAAGCGGTGGAACAATGTGGTTATAGAAAAGTAGAGAATTCAAGCTTGACAAAAGAAAAAGAGAGAGAGAAAAAAAGAGAATGTGGGGGGGGGGGGGGAGCAAAGAGTTTTCATGTTGACTTCCATTCCAAGCTTTGCGATTCAGTTTGTCTTAGTAGTCTTTTCTCCTCATTTTTTTAAAGTAGTTTTTTATTGAAATATTAGAAAATTACAGCGAAAGAGGGTGAATATTTAAAAGAAGATAGAACAGTAGGAAAAGATAGAAAACACCACCCCGCAGAAAAGAAAAAAAAAGGAATAAAAAAAGAAGAAAAATCCAAAATAAAAAATAAAAAAACCCAAAAAACAAAAAAAACAGTAAAAAAGAAATAAAAAGTAAAAATTAAAATTAAAAAAAAAAAAGATTGACTTCCATCTCCTCATCAGGTGTTGTATCTCCAAAAATTTAAAAAATATTTCCAGTGCTTCCACAATAAAATGTTCCTCTTACTTCTTTCTTTCTCGTAATTATCATAAAGTGTCCAATCTGAAGACTGGACATGTCTTTTCTCCTCATTTTACCTTATTCTTACATGTTTCTACTTGACTGTTTCCAACTTTCTCATTCTCCTCAAAGAGATTCCATTGTGTCCATTTTATTGTATTTCCTGAATTTTTCTTTAAAAAGTAAGTTCATTTATCCGAATCTTTATAATTTCTTTCAATTTAGTTATCCAGCTTTCAATTTCTGGTACCTCCTCAAGTTTCCAGAGTTTTGCATAAGATATTCTCGCTGCCATGGTCATATATGTAAATAATCTATCCTTGTTTTCATCCAAAGTCAGTTCTGAGTCTGTAATGCCTAGTGAATAATACTCTGGCTTTTTTGGGGAAATCCATTTAAAGTATTTTTTTTGGAATTCTTCATGGATTCCTTTCCAGTACTTAGAAGCTACTTTACAGGACCACCACATGTGGAAAAAACTCCCATCATGGTCATGACATTTCCAACACTTGTTTGGGATATTTTTATACATCAGGCCTAGTTGCTTAGGTGTAATATACCTTCTGTACCTTCTATAAAATCCCATTTTTCTACTTATTTATCTCTCCCAAGAATTCTGGGTGCAGCATCTACTTCCCTTTTCTAAAACTGTAGGTTCATCTTTAAATTGTTTTTCTTGAATTACTCTATTGCTTTTTAATCTCTTTTATGTAGTTCAGTGCATTGTTTGCATCATCGTTTTGTTTCTACAGTAGAGTCTCGCTTATCCGACCTTCACTTATCCGACATTCCGTCTTATCCAACACTTTTATCCCGATCCTCCCGCACTTCCCCTTCAATTAAAGGAGTGCTCCCACTGTCTCCATTCCCAATAAGTGAAAAAGGCAAGACGAGGAGGAGGGAGGAAAGTGGGGAAAGAGGCAGGACCGGGAGTGGAAGCATCTTCCCTCCTTCTCTCTACAAGTTCCATGATCCTCTTCCGCATCTGGGCACTTCCTACTGGGCCACTCTACCCCGAGGCGTTGCCATGCCTTAACCCTTTGAGTCCCTGTTATTATTCTAGGTGTCTAGTGCTGCATTGGATGGGTAACAGTAGGAGACTCCATATTATCCAACATTTTTGTTTATCCAGCGTTCTATCAGTCCATTTATGTCGGATAAACGAGACTTTGTAGTCTTCTTCTGCTTGTATAACATCTCCATTCTTGGTTAACATTTCCCTTTGATTTCTCAGATCTTATGGAACAGGCCTCTTTCTCTTTCCTTTCGATGGTCATATTTTATTTCTCTGCATTTACTATTAAAATAACTTCTCCCTGAACAGATGTTGCTTTCAAAACTCTATGTCATCTTTTGCTTTTTTGTCCATAACTGCTTGAGAAGAGGCTTGTGCGCACTAGTTCTATATTATGCCCAAATAATTTCTAATCCCATTATTCCAAAGGTAGGAAACTATTAAGAAGATATATTGGGTCATAATAACTCGCACATATTTCAAGAGATTTATAGAAGAGGGTTTATTTCACACTTCCATTATACATTTCCTTTTGAGGATACTATACAAAAACCACACGTGATCCCCAAAGCTTTGTTTTTCCATCGCAAACAGTCATGCCTCTGCATTTGCAGGTTTAATTTAATGCAGATTTGTATAATATGTTCTTTTAGGTCCTCCACGGTGACTGTTCAGCTTCTGCCGGAGGTTGGCCATAGAGTCACCCTTGAAGTAATAGATTTCTCGAGGGAACCCCTCTCTAGCAATCCCTTAGATCTTCTAGACCAGGGCTGCTTAAACCAATGGTTCTCAATCTGGGTCCCCCAGGTGTTTGGGTCTACAACTCCCAAAAATCCCAGCCCGTTTACTAGCTCTAGGCACTGCCAGGCAATCAAATGCTAATCAAGGTGGTCAGTTGAAACATTCACACCTAGCTCCAGCAGACAAGAGTCCTTTGTCTCACCCTGGTCATTCCACAGATATATAAACCCTTTTTCCTAGTTCCAACAGACCTCATTACCTCTGAGGATGCTTGCCACAGATGCAGGCGAAACATCAGGAGAGAATGCCTCTAGACCATGGCCATATAGCCCGAAAAAACCTACAACAACCAAGTTTACTAGCCGTTAGGATTTCTGGGAGTTGAAGGCCAAAACATCTGGGGTTGAGAACCACTGTCTTAAACTCTTGGCCCTGATCCCAAATAGGGTCCCTTTCGCTCAGCATTGGGGTTGCGAAAAAAACGGCAACAATGAAAAGTTCTGAATGCCACCCGTCTGTTAGCAACAACATATAGTGTTTACAGTGGGCTTTAACAGAAAATGCTTCAGCTCCACTCCACAAAAAAGAAAATCATTCTGCTTAGCAAACCTTGAAAATGCTGGTTTATTATCAGCAAATATTTTCATACCTATTTTATACCCTTATATACTTTGGGAGAAAAAGAAGGTTACGAGTGAAATGAGTTTAAGAAGCCCTTCTCTAGCATGATTCAGTGGTGAACATCAAGTTACCTGGGAGGACCTAGAAATCTGTTATATCAGATTTAAGAAAATCAGTATGATTCTATTTGCAGATTTCCTCCATTCCTGCAAAACCCCACAAAAGTAGGCGGCTTACTGGCTCACAGGCTCTCGTCCAAATGGTGGGAAGCTAATACCTAAAATAAACATTTTCATCTAATCCACCAAAAGATTGAACACAGATTTCCTACAAAATATCAACAATTGTCCCTCCTGCTCTTCCAGGGGTGAGGACCAACAGTTGACCTGGTCTCAATCTCGTAAAAATCACTTGAAAGCAATCCAGGGTTGCTTTTTGCTGCTGCTCTCTATTACCTTTTCCTACCTGCCCCTAGTTCCTCAGTTTTTGAGATGGGTAAGAATTAACCATGAGGCAGGAGTTCCTATGTCCTCTCCATACATCTCGAATGACAGTGCATATCTATTATCATAGTTGTTAATTGGCTCAAGTGCCTTGTGTATCTACTACTATGAGCATCTCCTCAGCTTTCGATAGTTATGTTATTTAAATTTAATTAATGTAATTAATTAGTGTGACCCAATGTGGCTCAGAGGTATACTTCTCTCTCCTCTTTAAAGTTCCCCCTTCCCTGTATCAGCAGGAGATCTGGCCATTCCTCACAATGAGAGTAACAGAGAGACAGCATAATATTGCTTCTTATGGAGCAGGTAATACACGGCCTTTGCACTGTGATAATGTAAAAATACCAGACTCCTTTCTGTGGTAAAGGACAGAGCACTAAAACATGGAAGGCACAGCAAAACACCCATGTATTTGGTTTTACAGACTAGCCTTTTGTGTAGGAATTATTGTATTGTGTAAGTGTAGGAATTACTGTATTGTCTTTAAAACTGGCCTACACTTGGTCTCTAAACTAGTTGCCATGTGCCTTCAAGTCATTTGCAACGTACGGCAACCCTAAGGCACACCTATCACAGGGTTTCCTTGGCTAGATCTGTTGAAGTGGCTTGCTCTTGTCTACCTCTGAGGGCTGTTCCACACAGACACTATAATCCAGTTCGAAGCTGGCTTGAGGGTGATGTATCCATAAAATGTACACCCCTCGATGTGCGCTGCAGTGCACCTCAAGCCAAAAATAGTGTGTTTAAAAAAGGCGCCAGAAAATCCCGAACAAACCACATAATGTGCTGCAGCCAATCTGAGCATATTGCATGCAGGGCTCAAAACTGAGGTGCTTCTGAATGGGCATGGATATGCGCATCAGTGCATCTCAAAATACTGATTAAGACAGAAAAAATGTACATTTTCCAGTTGCTGTCTAGCCGTGGATACTGTAATTCCTGGGTTTGGTTCTGATCCGCAATCAGTGGATTCTGTGGATTATAGTATCTGTGTAGTTTACCCAAGGTCACCCAGTGGATCTTTAGGGATAAATGGAATTATCAGAGCCCTTGATTCCAACACTAGAATCATAGAAGCATAGATTTGGAAGAGACCTCATCCAGTCCAACACCCTGCCAAGAAGCACGAAAATTGCACTCAAAGCACCTCCGACAGATGGCCATCCAGCCTCTGTTTAAAAGCTTCCAAAGAAGGAGCCTCTACCACACTCCGGGGCAGAGAGTTCCACTGCTGAACAGCTCCCACAGTCAGGAAGTTCTTCCTAATGTTCAGATGGAATCTCATTTCACAACACCCCTTGGCTTTGTAAAAAAGCAGGAATGCAACCAGTGCTACCCTGGAATAGTATAGTTGCCACTCCACAGTACATACATACTAACTATACATACTAACTACATAAATTTTTTGTTCTTGACATATGTGGGTTAACTGAGATTCTGCTTATCTTTCTTCCAGGGAAGAAGGAAATCAACACAAATGGACAATTGCTTGCTGATGCTTCTCATCTGGAAGACCATGAATGGCCAGCTGGGGAACCAACTCTATTGCCAGCTTCTCTGATTCAAGCAGTAGTCATGCAAGAATGCAAACAACAAACTGTAGAGAAACCACAACATATTTCCCCTTGGAATCTTGCTCCTAATGAAGCTCAGAGTAACAGTCGTGTAGTCAGTTATACGAAAGGAAGAGAATGTGCTGCACAAAGGGGGGACCCTCTCTCCTTCAACTGTAGTCAGCACCAAGAAGAGAAAGGGCTTTTTGAGGAGGAAACCTTGCCTAAGTCGCCTTTAAGAGAGAAAAATGGTGGCTGGAAAAAAATGAAACCAAACACTTCAGCTTCTCAGAGCAGCGCGAATCCGAGGGCAGTTTCATACAAAGGTACTAAGGATTGGAGAAGATATAACCCAACGTCCTTCTGTAACAACACCTCCTTCATGGAATCCACTGACTCTGAGAATATAGATCCTCAGCTGAAGAAAGGTATAATCGGCATCAGGCCTATGAAAAAGGTCAGAAAGACTCCACTTGGATTCAGTTTGGAAACTAATGATGAAATTTCTGATTCTGATAAGTATGAGAACAGTGAAGATGCGACGAGCCCTTTGTTCACTCAAGACTCAGATGGCCACAAAGTCATTTCTCACCGCTGTTTTCATGAACCATCTCAGCTGTCTTTCCAGAGGAAGTTTCAACAGGGCAAAAGCAGCTCAGGAGGAAGCCAATCCCATAAGGATGGCTTTGGGACTTGTTATTCAGTGGAGAGAAGGCCCCACATCTCTGTTCTAGCAGACATTAGCCAGAAACCATGTTACGACTTGCTCTTCACAGAGGATTCAGAAGGCAATAAAGTAATCAAACACTAATTCATAATCTCTGTGGGAATACATTCCCTCAGTACTTACAAAGCAAACCGATAACAGAAAGGCTTAAAGCTGCAGTGCATTTATGTCAGCTACAGCTGTAAGTTCAAGCCATTCTGCTTTATGGTTGTCCAGCGGAGGAAGTACAGAAAGTACTACACTCGTGGCCCAGAAGACTCATTCTCCTGCTGAGGAAAATGCAGCTGTATCCATTAGTATAAATACGTAATACACTTGTGTGATGTGTTTGTAATAAAAACTGTATTACTATTTCTTAAACTGGCTTTTCTTTTCTCGGGAGTCCTGAGAGTACCACCTATCTTCTGGATTTTTCTATCTTACCAGATGGAATAGAAGTGTAATAAGAGAGCACAAGATCTGATTGATCTTGTGCTCTCCCACCAATAGAAACTAATGATTGAGTTACAAGCATTGAGAATGCATGTTAAAATAAACCATGAGCCACTAACACCTTCTGCCTTCTGCAACATCTCGTTCTTTTCCTCAGACCATTCAGTCTAAAGCAGTGGTTCCCAACTTGTTTTTGACCAGGGACCACTTTCCAACATTAGTACCAAAAGGGTTACGAATCTGTTTTTGGTCAACTTTAGATTCGGCTTGGTTATTTGGGGTGCTGATTCAGAAAACTGCATTGGAGAGACCACATCAGCTCTAGTTCCTGGTACAAACTTATGCCATCCAGTAGTCGCCATCTGCTCACCCACAGAAAACCATATTTAATAATCTAGAGCTGATGTGGTCTATTCAATGCAATTTTCTGAATTAACACCCTAAATAACCCCAGGAACAGGCCTAAAAATGAAGACATCCAGTTTTTTTGGTTGGGCTGTGTTATTTTCCATAGTAATAATGGTGAGGCCACAGACCATATTTTAGTTCTTGCGGACCACTGGTGGTCCATGGACCACAGGTTGGGAACCACTGGTCTAAAGCATATGTGTCAAACTCAAGGCCCATACGCCAAATCTGGCTGGTCATGTCATTTTATGTGGCCCTCCAAATGTTGGATTACAACTCTTGTATTCCCCATCATTAGACATCATGACTAGAGCTGATGGCAGTTGTGATGCAGTAGCATCTGAAGGCATCAGGATGTTCTGTTTGGTCAAGATTGTGGGGTCTGAACTTAAGAGACAATGCTTGTGGATAGGATGCCTGGCTCTAAAATGTCCTTTAACCTTATTTCAACCCTAGAGCCACAAGTATTGTTGGGCTGCAATTCCCATCATCCCCAGTCTGGGAGTTGTTCAATAACATCTGGGGCCCCAAAATGGGTAAAAACTAATGAGCGCTGACCAATATGTAAAAAAGATATATAGTTGGCCCCTCTGTACGGGGCCCACAATAAAAATGTGTTTAACACCCCAGTCTAAAGCCCTTGTGTGTCCTTGAAACACTTAGAGTGGGTTTAGTTGCACAATATAATTGACAAAGCTAACTCAATCACATATATATGGGCAGATCGGCTCTGGTTCAAGCTGATCTAAAGTTGGCTCTCCTCCACCGTGTCCCTGGTCCTTACACTAACTATTCCAGGTCCATGTCAGCAAAACTCAACACAAGCAAACAAAGCAGTTTCTCCTTTAGCAGGAACGAATGCAATTGCCTTGTCATCCTGTCAACAAAAATGGTAATTACAATAAATCTCCCACAAAGTTAACAAGTCACTAGCCTTGATTTCCAGTTCACCCCTTTAGGAGGAATGGCTGAGGAAAAAGTGAATGCTGAATCTTCATTGAGGTAAGAGATATGCATAGCAGCAGCCTTGGTATTTAATTGCCTCTATGTCAAAATACAAAAGTTAGAAACACCCACTTCATGCTTATTGAATACTTAGGTTGAACATGGGGTTGAAAAAACATAAATAAATTAAAAATGCTGAAGTAGAACTCTGCTCTAAGCTATACAGGAAACAGATAGATCGAGATAACCTATTTCAAAGCAACAATATGCCTTCAGTGAAGCAGTGACAGCATTACTTGAATCACTGCTTTTGAGAGACGCGGCCGAATGCTTTTCATATGTCTTGCAAAGCAAACCACACTTTCATATTCCTAATGCCGTGACGCCTTGATACAGTTCCTCATGTGGTGACCTCCAACCACAGAATTATTTTGTCGCTACTTTAGAACTGTAATTTTGCTATTGTTATGAATTGTAATGTAAATATTCGATACGGCCAAATTTAAACACGGAGTTTGGGGAAAATAGACCTTACATTTGGGAGTTATAGTTGTTGGGATTTATAGTTCCTCTATGATGAAAGAACATTCTGAACCCCAGCAACGATAGAATTGGGCCAAATTTCCCACACAGAATCCCCATGTCTATTTTATAACTGTAATTTTGCTATTGTTATGCATTGTAATGTAAATATTCGATACGGCCAAATGTAAACACTGGTGGAGTTTGGGGAAAATAGACCTTATATTTGGGAGTTATAGTTGTTGGGATTTATAGTTCCTCTATGATGAAAGAACATTCTGAACCCCAGCAACGATAGAATTGGGCCAAATTTCCCACACAGAATCCCCATGCCTTGAAGGGACTTGCTGGTGCGAGTCTCCCCCTGGACTTGCACTCTGTCCTTCGCCTGCACATACGCACCAGACTGCTATGTGTCGAGCATGCCTGCTCTCCCCTCTCCACTTGGAGTCTCAGAAACAGTCCTTCCCTTGGCTGAGAAGATGGCCAATGACAGGGGAGGAAGGCTTTTGGTGGGAGGATTTGCCATCTGTTTCCAAAAAGGAAGAGAAGGTCAGGTGGAGGATCTTCAGCAGTCTCTGCCAAAGGGGTTCATAAGACCATCAGAAATACATGTTTTGTGATAGTCTTTGGCAATGCCTCTGAAACCCCCTCACAGCCCCCCTGGGGTCCTGACCCCCAGTCCCTGGCTCCCACACACTTTCTAAAGCAGAGATCCTCAAACTAAGGCCCATGGGCCGAATACGGCCCTCCAAGCTCATTTACCCGGCCCTCGCTCAGGATCAATTTAACTCTGAAATGACTTGAAAGCACACAACAACAACAACAATCCTATCTCATCAGGAAAAAGGAGGCCCACACTTCCCATTGAAATACCAATAAGTTTATAGTTGTTAAAATTGTTCTTCATTTTAATTATTGTATTGTTTTAAAGGTTTTTTTGCACTACAAATGAGATATGTACAGTGTCCACAGGAATTAATTCATGTTTTTTTTCCCTTCAAATTATAATCCGACCCTCCAACCGTTTGAGGGACTGTGACCTGGCCCTCTGTTTAAAAAGTTTGAGAACCCCTGGTCTAAAGACTGTAATGATCTCCTACAGCAGTTCCTGGACCACTTGTACAGCAGGGACAGTATTGCAGCTTCTGGCCAACAGGGGGAGTATGCTTCCAAACAAAAACTTTGCTAGGTTTTAACTTTCAGGGGAGGTCTTATATTTAGTAATTCAGCAAAACCTCAAGTAGAGACCTCATCACACTAGAGAATGAATCCACTTTAAATGTGGTTACTGCCTCCTGCAGAATTCTGGGGTTTGTAGTTTAGGGAGGAGACTTTAACAGCCTCACTAAACTACAAACCGCAGAATTCTGCAGGAGGCAGAAACCGGATTTAAAATTGATTCATTCTCTAGTGCAGGGGTCCACAAACTTTTTAAATAGAGGGCCAGGTCACTGTCCCTCAAACTGTTGGAGAGCCGGATTATAATTTGAAGAAAAAAAAAAGAATGAATCCCTATGCACACTGCACATACCTTATTTGTAGTGCAAAAACCACTTAAAAACAATACAATAATTAAAATGAAGAACAATTTTAACAAATATAAACTTATTAGTATTTCAATGGGAAGTGTGGGCCTGCTTTTGGCTAATGAGATAGGATTGTTGTTGTTGTTGTTGTGTGCTTTCAAGTCATTTCAGACTTAGGTTGACCCTAAGCGAGGGCCAGGTATTTTCAGGGGATGTCTTATTTTTGGGGAAACAGGGTAACTATCGGCACTGGGGGATCTTATCAACTATATATGGGATGAGATCCTCTTTATGTTTTTAATTCCAATACTACCTTTTATTTGCATTAATTCCGTTTGACCCTGTGCTAAAGGAAAAGAGAGCTGAGGAATTACTTGAACTGATCTCCCAAGTTTCCTCTTACTTGGCAACAGGGAAGAAGAACAGCTGAAGAAAAGCTCTTTCCTGGAAGGGCTCATTGGAAGCTGCTTTTTTGGGGGGTGGGTGGGTGGGATATGCTCTATCATTTGCAACATCATAACATATTTTCTATCAAAGGAGAGTTAATTGTGAGGAAAGGCTGAGAACAACCATAACAAGGTATTTTTACTCATAACTCAACTCTAAAGGAGTGAATTTACACGCTCAAGAATTGCAACCAAAGAACAGTTCGTTTTTAATTTAACTTACCACTAAGTGAATCACTGGCAAATTTCACTGGAGAGGTATTGTTACTAACACTTCTGTTCAAAATGGTGTGGAAAACTATTTGACCTTTTAAAAAAATTGTAGCTCTTATCTGTGTGAGGAAAAAAACCACTTCAAAACGAGAGTTCCTCCGGCTGGACCAGGGCCTCGGTGGTAAACAACCAGATTCCGCTTGGAGCCCAGACTGGAGTTTTGCGCAGCCAAGCCCCCCGCCAAGGACGCCGAGGCCATGCCCCTCTCCGAGTGCTACATTGTGGTCAAGCTGGCCGACCAGCCCTTGGCTCCCAAATCCATCCTGAGGTTGCCGGAAACGGAGCTGGGGGAGTGTCCCCTGGGCGGCTGCAGCATCTCCTACCTCAAGCAGCTCATCACCGGGAAACTACAAGAGTCTGTTCCTGACCCAGAGCTCATCGACCTGATCTATTGTGGTCGGAAGCTGCAGGACGACCAAACGCTGGAATTCTACAGCATCCATTCGGGATCCACGGTCCACGTCCTCCGAAAGTCGTGGCCGGAACCAGAACAGAAACCAGAACCCGTGGATAAAGTGGCGGCCGTGAGGGAGTTCCGGGTTCTGCACACCGCTTTGCACAGCAGCCCCGTCTTCAGAGACTCGGTCTTCAAGATGCTGGGAAACAAGGAATCCCTGGATCAGATTATAGTCGCTACCCCCGGACTGAGCAGTGACCCCATTGCGTTGGGCGTCTTGCAGGATAAAGACCTCTTCTCTGTGTTTGCTGACCCAACCATGCTGGACACGCTCATCCCGACCCACCCGGCCTTGGTGAACGCCATCATCCTGTTCCTGCACTCCGTGGCCGGAAGCACCCCCTTGCCCACCAGCGGCGGGCCTTCCAGCTCCAACTGGGACATGCCGGGTGGCTTCCTGTTCGAAGGTCTTTCGGACGATGAAGATGATTTCCATCAGAGTACCAGGAGCACTCCTTCCAGCAGCACTTCCGGCTCCCGCCCGGCCTCCCTCGGCTACATGGGAGCGGCAGGACCCCGGCCCATCACGCAGAGCGAACTGGTGACCGCCCTGGCCAGCACCCCCGAAAGCAGCTTCCACACCCCGACCCCTGGGACGCAGGGACATTCTTCGGGCACGTCCCCAATGTCCTCCAGCGTCCAGTCGGGAACGCCCATCACCAACGACCTCTTCAGCCAGGCCTTGCAACATGCCCTGCAGGCCTCCGGGCAGCCAAACTTGCAGAGCCAGTGGCAGCCTCAGTTGCAGCAGCTGCGAGACATGGGCATCCATGACGACGAGCTGAGCCTCCGCGCGTTGCAGGCCACCGGAGGGGACATCCAGGTGGCCCTGGAGCTCATCTTTGCCGGAGGAGCCCCGTAACATCCCCCTCTCTCCCCGTCCTGCCTCAAGAGGCTCAGGCCCCGGAAGACCCTTCTGCCCATGTCTTGGACGCTGCTTGGTGGTGCTGCTCTGCCCTATTCTCTCCCTTGTCAAAATGCCCGGAGTCTCCATCATCGTGGCTACGCTTCCTCATTTCGCTAGGACGGGAAAGCCTTTAGAGCCGCCGCAAACTAGCCTCCTGCGGGAGCAAACTGTGCGAGCACGTCCATGACGTCATGAGACTGCGCCTCTCTCTCCGCCCCTTTCTCCGTGCCAGTGTGGTTTTTCCTTTGCTAGGGCAGCATTGCCAGCGTACTCTCTGTTGGCTGAATTCAACAACGAGAGTACACTGGCAATGCTGCCCTAGCAAAGGAAAAACCACTCTGGCACGGAGAAAGAGGCGGAGAAAGGGGCGGGGAGAGAGGGGGAGACTCATGACGTCATGGACGTGCTCGCACAGTTTGCTCCCGCAGGAAGCTAGTTTGCGACGGGTCTTCGAGTTGGAACGATATCAACGGTAACAAAAGCAACACAATAGTTCTCTCATCGGGCTGGAGCACAAAAGACTGCCTGCTAAAGGAGGGCTTAAGACAGCTGCAGAGAAATGCATGTTCCTTCAAGGCCTTACACAACTTGCTTGCTTCCAGTATCACTTTGTGGCTCTCCAAGCCTCAGCCGCTTTTGTCCAGCTCATTAAAGCCTTCCTGTCCCTTCAAAAAAAACAAACAAAAAAAAAACAAAAAACGAGAGTTCCTCCTGGCTAACCGTTATTTCCACAAACGCACACATTCACGCAGGAAATCTAATCCCTAAGGGAAGTTTGATGTTCTGAGGAAGGTAGCCACTGTAGAGAAAAATCTCAGAAGCACAAGGATCTGCTTTTATAAGGTAATAAACGAGCATAATGTCAATTCTTTTTCACGTTTATGTCTTCATCCTTCAAGGCAAATTTTCTTCTCAAAACTTCTGCTATAAGAATTGCAGGATCTTCTTCTTTCAGTAAAGTTTTGTTCCTAAAAACGATACACAAATTAGAAGACATTAACAGAAGCACAAACAGACTGCACCTCGCCCCAATACCCAATTGTCACTCTGATAATTTTTAAGAAATGCTGAAATCTTTCCTTCAATAATAATGTGAATTAGTGTGATTGTATGGAACTCTCTTTCTAAAGAAGTCAAAACGACTCCTACCCTCCTCTCTTTTAAGGACCTCATCACACTTGAGATTTAACCCCCTTTAAATCCAGTTGTTGCCTCCTGCAGGATTCTGGGGGTTGTGGTTTAGGGAGGAGCCTTTAACAGCCTCACTAAACTTCAAACCTCAGAATTCTGCAGGAGGCAGAAACCAGATTTAAAGTGGATTCATTCTCTAGTGTAATGAAGTAGTAAGACACTTCTAAAATGCACTTATGCAGTTTAGCGTACGGAGAGGAGGAGGAATAAAACATCCATTTGGAATGCTGGTCAACTCCACTTGCACTATATTGCTGCCACGATACACCTTAAAGCAGTGTTTCTCAACCTGCGGGTCTCCAGATGTTTTGGCCTTCAACTCCCAGAAATCCAAACAGCTGATAAACTGGACACAACATATTATTTGAGAACACAGAAATGTTGGACCACTCCAACAACCACCATGTCAGACTACACAGAAAGCCATTAAAATCCACAAACATGTGGACAATTTCAACAGAAAGGAGGAAACTATGAAAATGAACAAAATCTGGCTACCAGTATTAAAAAACTCTAAAATTAGAACAGCACAACAACAGAGAGGAAACAAACAAGGACATCTAATCACTTCTCAACAAAAGATTGCTCCAGGCACTGCCAGGCAATCAAATGCTAACCAAGGTGGTCAGTTGAAACATTCACACCTAGCTCCAACAGACAAAGAGTCCTTTGTCCTACCCTGGTCATTCCACAGATATATAAACCCCAGTTTCCTAGTTCCAAAAGACCTCACTACCTCTGAGGATGCTTGCCATAGATGCAGGCGAAATGTCAGGAGAAAATGCCTCTAGAACATGTACATATAGCCCGAAAAAACCTACAACAACCCAGCTGATAAATTGACTGGGATTTCTGGGTGTTGTAGGCCAAAACACCTGGGGACCCACAGGTTGAGAACCACTGCCTTAAAGGAACATCGGAGCCAGCCATTTTTAATGTAACTGTATTTTAAACTGTTTTGAGGGTATTTGTTGTCATGTTTATTTATGTTTTTAGTTAATTATGTCTTACTACCTATTCTGTTATATTTTTTTATCTCAATGCTTAATCCTTCGTAGTAAACTCACTGTTATTACTGTGCTCTATCATGTATTTTGATATGTTTTTGGTATGTTTTGCACTCACTTAGGCACTGAATGCTTGCCTTCTTATGTGTAAACTGTCCTAAGTCTCCTCGGAGAGAGAGGGCAGTATAAAAATAAAGTATTGTTATTATTATTATTATTTCTTGGCAGTGAGAGAAATGAATTACTGTATTTCATTGCATAATGAAAAGACGCAGATGTGTACTTTTCACCCGAAGAACACACAAGCATCTCAAGGTCTGAGGATTTACCTGGGAAGGAATCCCACTGGAGCACTGCAGCACACCCAAATATCTGGCAGTCACTCTGAACTGTGCTCTGACTTACAGGAAGCACTGCTTGAATATCAAGCAAAAAGTGGGCGCTAGAAACAATGTCATATGAAAGCTGACTGGCATAACCTGGGGATCACAACCAGACATAGTGAAGACATCTGCCCTTGCGCTTTGCTACTGTGTTGCTGAATACACACGCCCAGTGTAGAACACATCTCACCACGTTAAAACAGTGGATGTGGCTCTTAATAAGACATGCTGCATTATCACAGGATCTCTATGCCCCACACCGCTGGAGAAATTATACTGTTTATTTGGTATTGCACCACTTGACATCCATCAGGAAGTAGCAACCAATAACAAAAGGGCCAAGACAATGACATCTCTAGCCCATCCCATTCAGATATCAGCCAGTACGCCAACACCTTAAATCAAGAAACAGCTTCCTAAGATATACAGAGATATTCGCAGGAACACGTCAGCAAACCAGAGTCCAAAACTGGCAAGTTAAAACTCAGAACCTAAATCAGTGTCTGATAACAGATGAGAAACTCTCCCTTGAACAGACTGCACTCTGGCATCATGAGATGCAGAGCCAACCTTAAGAAATGGGGCCACAAAATGGAGTCCATGACATGTGAATGTGGAGAAGAGCAAAACATAAACAACCAACTACAAGGCGGTCTGAGCCCTGCCACACGCATAATGGAGGACCTTACAGCAATACCAGAGGCACTCTGATCAAAGTACATTTAGTATAATGTTTGTGGTTTTTCTATACATTATAACTGTATTTTCAATACGCTTCTGACACGATAAATAGTGTGTTTGTATGGGGCTTATTATCCTGGCAGTAGGAGAAAGGAATTACCGTATTTCATTGCATAATAGTCACACCTCCAAAATTGGAATTTTCTGTTCCTTGCAAAACAGTCGCAGATCCATTTGGGGCTAATTTCCCCTCCCCCACTTCCTTCTCCAAAGGCAAGGCAGTTTTAAAAACCCTGAAATGGAGGTCTCTGAAATTCAAATCTTTCCTCTTTCCTCCAAAGAGCTCCATTTCAGATTTTGTAAACTGCCTTGCCGTCTGTTGCCGAAGGCTTTCATGAGTGGAATCACTGGGTTGTTGTGAGTTTTACCAGGCTGTATGGCCATGTTCCAGAAGCATTCTCTCCTGACGTTTCACCCACATCTATGGCAGGCATCCTCAGAGGTTGTGAGGTCTGTTGGAAATTGGGCAACTGAGGTTTATATATCTGTGGAATGTCCAGGGTGGGAGACAGAACTCTTTGTCTGTTTGAGGCAAGTGTGAATACGGCAACTGATCACCTTGATAAGCGTTGCAAAGTCTTGCAGATTCAAGGCTTGGCTGCTTCCCGCCTTGGGGAATCCTTTGTTAGGAGGTGATTAGCTGCATGGCTTTTTAGTGCTAATCAAGTCCTTGGAATCTATTTGGATTTGGTTCCAGGACCCCTGTGGGTACCAAAACTCATGAATACTCAAATCTAAAGCCGAAAGTAAATGAGCCTAATGTATAAATGGAAATAACTGAGAATTGCTGCTTCTTGTAATCTTATCCACTTTTGATTTTTTTCTTTCTGAAAGGCTGTTTTTAGGTGTAATATCTAAACTGGAAGAAATAGATATAAGAGACCAGCTCCATTTCAGCATCCTGATTTCTTTTAGAGTCTTGAAGAAGCAGAAGCAAAATAAACCTTGGGGTAAAGCACATCTTCCTCCTGTATTCAATTTAGTTCCTTAGGAAACTGGAAAGGAAAACCCCTAGGCTGGATGACGCAAAAGCTAGCCACATAATTTACATTATAATTCAATGTAGCCATGGTATTGCATGGCTTATTAGCAGAATTAAATTGCTCTAAATGGATTGAGCGTTAAATGAATATGGAAGATTGCAGTGACTTTCCAAAAAGACTTTGCTCTGGATAAAGAATACAGCTTTTCATACCATCTGATCAAAGAAGGCTACAAAACCCCAGGATCATTACATTTAAGAAATAATACAGATCTTAAAAATAACAACAAACATCAGAATTAAAATGTTGAATTGTTTCCCAGTTTTAATAAGTAATCTACTCTTAAGAATTTTTTTCCTGTGAAAAGGGGTACATCTAACGGGACTAATGTTGTAGTAGAGTCTGTTGGCAATGCTGCAATTGGTAGTAGTAGTGGTAGAGGAGGGAAACGAGGCACCCAGGTGTTAGATGAAGAGCAGCAAAGGAAGAGAATTCGGGAGATACTTATGTCACCCACTGATGAAGAATCCTTTGAAGGTTTCTCCGAGAGTGTAATGAGTGAGGAGGAGGAAGGAGATTCAAATGGGAATAGAGGCATTAAGAGGGTTACTCGAGAGCAGGAGTCAGACAAAGAACATCAGAGAAAGAAGATCCGGGACATACTTACTGCTCCCACAGAGAAAGAGGATTTCATGGGTTTTTCTGGGAATGATGGATCTGGGAGTAGTGGGGATGAAGAGGAACCACTGGATTGGACCAAAGTACAGGAGGTTCAGAATGTGTGTACTCAACCAATGTTCAGTGACATTTTGAGGGGTTTTCTGGTGGCGGGGATTGGCAATCTRGTGATATCATGGAATCGTGGGGAGACCTAAGTCTTGACAAAAGGTGGAAGAGTTGGAGGGATGGGCGTTGGCGTTCAGCTYTAGAGGCTAAGCTAGCTGACAGTGATGAGGATGGGATGGAGGGRAGCTCATCAACGGATGATGAGTTGTAAGATAAATGAAGGCACTGGAGTGATAGAACTTTGCAGTAGGCAAAGTGTTGGTTTCGTGTCTTGGGTCTTGTTGCTGCTGRTTTCTTGTTGGGCTTGGGTCCTGGATCTGCAGGTTGCCGCTTATTTCGTGTACTGACTAGCTTGGATTCTCGTAAGTGCYGATTTCCCCTCTCCTTCGGACTGTTTTTTGACGACGARGCTGCCTCTTGGACTTTGGAACTTTCAACTGGGATTTCTTCGACTTTGGACTGTTTCTGGACGACGGCTTCTCTTCACGGCTCTTTGTTTGCTTATTTTCTTTGAACTGTGTGATTTTGGTGTGTTTTGGAAGAACTCTTATTTAATCCAGATTTTTTGCCAGTTTAATCTGGTTTATTTTCCAAGTTCGTTTTTCAAGCTGCAAATTGCTGCAAACTTTGAGTTCTGACCAAAGTAAGTGTCTCTGAGTCCAGTTTACTTTGCTTTAATAAACTATTGATTTYGATATACTCCTGTGTCTGGCTCTTTAAGGCATCTGGGCTCCGACAACTAAGAAAGGCCTCTACATGATCAGGTGAGGAAGACACACCAAATGTATCAACAGACAGTAACTTCAGTGGATCTATGTGGATATATATATCCGCCTAAAACAAATGAAAGCATGACACTCATCTTGAGACAGCGTTTCTCAACCTGCCTAATGCCACAACCCCTTGTTACAGTTCCTCATGTTGTGACCACCACCAACAAAATTATTTTTGTTGCTACTTCACAACTGTAATTTCGTTACTGTTAAGAGTCATCATGTAAATATCTGATATGCAGGATGTATTTTCATTCACTGGACCAAATTTGGCACAAATATCCAATACGCCCAAATCTGAATATTGGTGGGGTTGGATGGGGATTGATTTTGTCATTTGGTAGTTGAAGTTGCTGGGATTTATAGTTCACCTACAATCAAAGAGCATTCTGAACTCCCATCAACGATGGAACCGAACCAAACTTGGCACACAGAACTCTCATGACCAACAGAAAATACTGGAAGGGTTTGGTGAGCATTGACCTTGCGTTTTGGAGTTGTAGTTCACCTATATCCAGAGAGCACTGTGGACTCAAACAATGATAAGTCTGAACCGAACTTGGCACGAATCCTCAATATGCCCAAATGTGAATACTGGTGGAGTTTGGGGAAAACAGACCTTGACATTTGGGAGTTGTAGTTGCTGTGATTTATTGTTCACTTACAATTAAAGAGCATTCTGAACCCCACCAACAATATAATTGTGTCCAACTTCCCACATAGAATCCCCATGACAAACAGAAATACTGTGTTTTCTGATGGTCTTTGGTGACCCCTCTGACACTCTCGCGACCTCCCCCAGGTTGAGAAACGCTCTTAAGAGAAGATATTTATACTCTCGTCTATGACGTTTTGCACTTTTGTGGCCAGATCACCAAAGTATATTACAAATAACTCCTCTAAACTGATCCACAGCACTAACAAGCAGCAGGTATGACTTCACAGAAAAGAAGAGTGCAAGCTTCCAATCAATAAAGAAAAAAGACTTTTAGGGATATGAAACTTACAAGTCTTTGTTCTGTTTCATCCTATGAATGTCTTTAAGAATGCCCATCATATCCGCAAAGCTGCTGGCCTTCGACAGCGACACCGAATCTTCGTCATCCGAATCCTTTGGGTCTGCTTTACAACATTCAGAGGTTGCAGAACAAAGCATGGAAACAGATGGAAGCTCTGGGCTTTCTAATTCTGCCTCCTCCTCTGTGATGTCACTAATGACAAAGGAAGTTGTAGATTGGAATGAGGATCCAAAACAAGGTAAAGGAGAAGAGACAATTGAATTGTCTGGAGATAATAAATCTGGCGTTAGTGAAGTGGAAGCTGAAAAAGAGAATAATATATACATATTAAGATAAACCAAGTGCCAAACCATGGGTTTTAGTCAGTTAAACAGAACACCTGCTACATTTAGCTAATCTACGAAAACAATACATCAGTGGTCCTTTCCGCACAATTCTTATTTAAATAGTCTTCAAAGGCAGAGCATGGCAGCATTCTATCTCATACTTTCCCTTTGCAATCAACACCTTTTAAATAGCAATATTTTATATATTTAGAAGTTCCTGGTTTAAATCTTGGCATCTTAAGCAATAAGCAAAGTTCTTAGGACAACTTTAATAGAAGTAAGTTGTCATTCTTGTCTGGTAAACAAACAGTCCCACTGGAAAACAGAAGTCCACTCCAGAAATTAATCCTGTCTTTCTTTTTTCTGTTAGGAGCAATTCTGCCCTCTGCACAAGCTATGTTATCGCATAAATGTTGCACCCCCTATTTTTGAGTGCTGGAAACTGATTTTTTGTTTCCCTTATTTTGAGCTGATTTTTCCCTCCCTCTCTCCTTCCTCCCTTCCCTTCTCTTCTCTGAAGGCAAGGCAGTTTCAAAACTACATGAACATGTCAAGAGCCCTGTTATTGCCCTTCACAAACAAATACTGCCCACCACCCTAGTGAAGGTTTTCATACGGAGACAATTCCATCCTAGATTTTATGTGTTTCATCCACCATAGACGTCCTAGTATTTCAGACTCTCTCCATTGGTGTGGAATTTGCATGACCCCGCCCACTGCCTCTTCCTTAACCATTTCCTATTATTTTCTATGGCATAGAGTAAATAGAGGAATTGATTAGGTTTGGGGAGAATTCACCATGATTTATAGGAGTTGTAGGTACTGGGATGTATAGTTCACATGAAATCTAAGAACACTGTGAACTCCACCAATGATGGACCTGGAACTAACTTGGCAAAAAGAAGCCTCATGACCAACAAAAAATACTGGGGGGTATTTGGAGGGAGTTAGAGTAGTTGTAGTTCACCTACATCCAGAGTGCACTAAGAACCCAAAAAATGATGGGTGTGGACCACACTTGGCATTTGTGACTAAATAGCTAATTATAATATATGTTTTAAATGTGTTTATTGAAGTTGGGATATGATAAGTGCAGTCCAGCTTATGTGTTGCCTGAACTGAGGCATTGCCATAGCGACGGAACCGGCTGTTAGAATGTATCCAAGTTAGAGAAGCCAAAGGGGTGGAGTTAACTGCCACTTGGCAGGGGCAGGCATTTTTAAAAAGTCAGTTTCTTTTAGTCAGTGAACAAAAGTGGTTATATCTGTTGTTCATTCGTTCAGTCGTCTCCGACACTTCGTGACCTCATGGACCAGCCCACGCCAGAGCTCCCTGTCGGCCGTCACCACCCCCAGCTCCTTCAAGGTCAGTCCAGTCACTTCATCCATCCATCTTGCCCTTGGTCGGCCCCTCTTCCTTTTGCCTTCCACTTTCCCCAGCATAATTGTCTTCTCTAGGCTTTGCTGTCTCCTCATGATGTGGCCAAAGTACTTCAACTTTGTCTCTAGTATCTTTCCCTTCAGTGAGCAGTCGGGCTTTATTTCCTGGAGGATGGACTGGTTGGATCTTCTCGCAGTCCAAGGCACTCTCAGAACCTTTCTCCAACACCACAGCTCAAAAGCATCGATCTTCCTTCGCTCAGCCTTCCCTAAGGTCCAGCTCTCACATCCGTAGGTTACTACAGGGAATACCATGGCTTTGACTAGGCGGATCTTTGTTGCCAGTCTGATGTCTCTACTCTTTACTATTTTATCCAGATTGGACATTGCTCTCCTCCCAAGAAGTAAGCGTCTTCTGATTTCCTGGCTGCAGTCTGCATCTGCAGTAATCTTTGCACCTAGAAATATAAAGTCTGTCACTGCCTCCACATTTTCTCCCTCTATTTCCCAGTTGTCAATCATTCTTGTTGCCATAATCTTGGTTTTTTTTTGTTTAGCTGCAACCCAGCTTTTGCGCTTTCTTCTTTCACCTTGATTAGAAGGCTCCTCAGCTCCTCCTCGCTTTCGGCCATCAGAGTGGTGTCATCTGCATATCTGAGGTTGTTAATGTTTCTTCCAGCAATTTTCACCCCAGCTTGCATTCCTCAATCCCCGCACATCCTCGCATGATGTGTTCTGCATACAAGTTAAAAAGGTTGGGTGAGAGTATGCAGCCTTGCCGTACGCCTTTCCCAATCTTGAACCAGTCTGTTGTTCCGTGGTCAGTTCTTACTGTTGCTACTTGGTCCTTGTACAGATTCCTCAGGAGAGAGACAAGGTGGCTTGGTATGCCCATCCCACCAAGAACTTGCCACAATTTATTATGATCCACACAGTCAAAGGCTTTAGAGTAGTCAATGAAGCAGAAATAGAGGTTTTTCTGAAACTCCCTGCCTTTCTCCATTATCCAGCGGATATTGGCAATCTGGTCTCTCGTTCCTCTGCCTTTTCTAAACCCAGCTTGAACATCTGGCAACTCTCGCTCCATGTATTGCTGGAGTCTTCCTTGCAGGATCTTGAGCATTACCTTCTTGGCATGAGAAATACGGGCCACTGTACGGAAGTTGGAGCAGTTTGAAACTTAATAGAAGAGAATGATGACCATTCTTGTGTTTTCCATATTTGCTGGCATATGGCATGCATCACCCTGACAGCATCATCTTTTAAGATTTTAAACAGTTCAGCTGGGATCCCGTCGTCTCCTGCTGCCTTGTTGTTAGCAATGCTTCTTAAGGCCCATTCAACCTCACTCCTCAGGATGTCTGGTTCTAATTCATTCACCACACCGTCAAAACTATCCTCGATATTATTATCCTTCCTATACAGATCTTCTGTATAGACTCACCACCTTCTCTTGATCTCTTCAGCTTCTGTTAGGTCCCTGCCATCTTTGTTTCTTATCATACCAATTTTTGCCTGAAATTTACCTCCAATGTTTCTAATTTTCTGGAAGAGGTCTCTTATCCTTCCTATTCTGTTGTCTTCTTCCACTTCCATGCATTGCTTATTTAAAAATAGTTCCTTATCTCTTCTGGCTAACCTCTGGAATTGCGCATTTAACTGGGCATATCTCCCCTTGTCACTGTTTCCTTTTGCTTTCCTCCTTTCTTGGGCTACTTCCAGTGTCTCAGCAGACAACCATTTTGCCTTCTTGGTTTTCTTTTTCTTTGGGACGTACTTTATATCTATATACTTTATATCTATATCTATCTATATATCTATATATCTATATATATATATATGTCATTTGTTCGTCCTGTTTTACATACATGTTTGGTGAGCAGTGTCAGGATATGAGTAACACCTTAAATCCAGTGATTAAAAGCCAAATATTTACCTCAGAAGCTACCACAAACATGATGTCTCCTAAAGCTGAAAGGACAGCTTCAGTGGAAATTCGGAAGTTGCAGCCAAAAGTAGAAAGAAGAGATTTGAGGCAGAACAAAAAGAGAGAACAAAGAAAGAGAACAAAGACTGGAAATTGAGGAAGATAAGCTGACCATGGCACAACAGAAAATTGCTCAAGGCCATGTCACTGAAGCATGCATGATCTTGAGGAGTATGGAAGAGCTGAGGCGTGATCCAGACATGGTGGTGACATTGGTGGCATGGTACAACCACAAAGGAGGCACTGACAGTGCCATTGAGGTCCTGGCACAGGCTATTGAATGGCACCAGGAGTTTCAGCCGGGGACTCCAGATCATTTGTGTCTCATCAGGAAAGCCGCAGTGCTTGCTGAGGTAGCCAGGAAGGTGGCTCAGGAAGATCATGATGACAAGGATGGCGAAGATGACCCCAGGCTGGATGATGTGGCCACGAATGTGTTAAAGAGAGATCCAAGAAGCCCGTCGTAGTTGCCAAGAAAGCAGCGGCCAAGAAGGTGGTCAAGAGAGTCGCCACAAAGCCCATTGTAGCTGCCAGAGAAGCAAAGAAAGCAGCGGCCAAGAAGGTGGTCAACAGAGTCGCCACAAAACCTGTCGTGCTTGCCAGAGGAGCCAGGAAAGCAACAGTCAAGAGCCCAAAGAAGTCCAAAATCACCTCAGCTTCAGAGAAGAAACCACAGGAGAGGAAGAGAGAAAGAAAAGTGGAGAAGGCTCGTGATCATCCTGTAAGGAGGGAAATTGTCCCTCGAGGACATCGGCAAGTCATCAGGGGACAAAGGAAGAAGCCAGAGAAGAAAAGAAGATGTGGTGAAAAGAAGCCCAATGATCATCATAAAGGGACATTGCTGTGGACATTTGGTCCAGTACAAGAAAGATTGTGTTTAAGCTATGGGACATTGGACAGTAAAACTTATGTGTCAATAATAAAAAGTGGATGTTTGGCTATTGTCTGGGCCATTAACAAATTGGGACCGTACGTATGGGGAAAAGTTGTGGTATGGTATATGGATAAATATCTCGTAAAACCAGGTAGAACGTCAATTGTGTATCTTAAAGGGATAGAAATACATTTGGACAAGGATATCTGATGTTGATATGGAGAACTGAATAAATAAAGGATGATCCCAGATAAGTCTAAGTTATATAGATTTGATAGGAAAATACAAAAGTCAATTAGTGAGTTTTTTAGTACGATACCAGGATACTTTTAAAAGGAATATACCTTGTAGAACATATCTAGGGAGTTATAAGTGTAGGAAGAGAAAATTTGACATCTGTATAAAAGATAAAGATAACATAGTAGCAGATTTCTTATCAAGAATGCCAGGAGGAGACGACTGAAGGATAGGTGAGAGAGGTGAACCTACCAAGGGAGGTATGGTATGGTAAGAATGTATTGTTTATAATGTGTTTATCTTTGAATTGTTACATTATGTATTATTGATATGTATATTTTGAACCGATAAATGTGGAATATTAATCTATATGCCTATTTATATATGTGGTATAGGTGTTATATATTGCTTTCAATGAGGTTCATTCTCATCTCCAGCAATATTTTAGGGGCAGGGGTGTAATGTAACAAAATAGCTAATTATAATGTATGTTTTAAATGTGTTTATTGATGTTGGGATATGGTAAGTGCAGGCCAGCCATAGCAACGGAACCGGCTGTTAGGATGTATTCAAGTTAGAGCCGCCAAAGGGGCGGAGCTAACTACCACTTGGCAGGGGCAGGCATTTTTAAAAAGTCAGTTTCTTTTAGTCAGGGACAAAAGTGGAAGTTGGGTTCTGGTATGTGGAGAAATTGAACCCAGGGATTTAAGTCTTCAGCCTGTGTGTTTAGAGAGTCAGTTGGACCTGTTTAAATTAGTAATTAGCTCGTGAGCTAAGGGGAATACAGAATAACAATCAAATGTTGTACACCTGTGAATCCTTAAATAAAGATTTCCTTGATCAGTTCTTTATAATTAAGACTCATGTCCATTTGTTGAGAAGAAGATTTACCTCAGAAGAAGGCAGCTGAAGAAATTGGAAGAAAGGATTCTGGATGGGGTAATGAGTTACTCCTTAAAAAAAGTGCCTCAAGTAAAAACATTTTAAAAGTCAACCTCAGCTACACGTACCACCACTACGTTACTCTCCTCATTGCCCTGGAGATATAGATAGATAGATAGATAGATAGATAGATAGATAGATAGATAGATAGATAGATGTCGTTTGTTCGTTGTGTTTTACAGCATGCATACCCGATATGCCCAAATTTGAATACTGGTAGGTTTTGTGGGGAATTGGCTTGGACATTTGGGAATTGTAGGTACTGAGATTTATAGTTCACCTGCAATCAATGAGCACTCTGGACTCCACCAAAGATGGAACTGGGCCAAACTTGACACACACAGCATCCATGACCAGCAAAATATACTGGAGGTCTTTGGGGGAGTTGTAGTTCACCTTCATCCAGAGAGCACTGTGAACCCAAACACCGATAGATCTGGACTAAACTTGGCACAAAGCCAAAAATTGATTACTGGAGAGGTTTTTTTTTGGGGGGGGGGGGGACTGACCTTCCTTTCTGGGAGTTGTAGTTCACCCACAACTAGAGAAACTGTGACCTCTACCGATGATGTACCTGGCCCAAACTAGGCACACAGATCCCCCATGTCTAACTCAACCTACTGGAGGGGTTTGAGGGGACTGACTCGCCATAGTGGGAGTTGTAGTTTACCCTGCAGCCAGAGAAGACACGGAATCTACCAATAGTGCAACTAGAGCAAACTTGCCAAACATAACAAACTTGAAGTACTGATGGAGTTTTAGGGGGTTAACCTGGCATGATGTGAGTTATAGTTCACCCACAACCTTGTGCATTTTGTACAATTAAAAATAGCCTTTTTCAAATAACCTGGCCAACGCTGGGTATCTAAGCTAGTAAATAAATAAACTCCTAGAGAATCTTCTTCAAACTTCCCGATATTCAAAATTGACTGAAAAGTTAAATGCTAGCCTTTAAAAACATGAAATGACCTTTTCTCAAATCCTTCTTTGCCACTGTTACTTAAACAAAAGCAGAGATGAAGTTTCCAAGTCATTTGCTTGCCTCCTTTGCAGGCAATTATCTCTAGATCTACCAAGCCCACATCTGATTTTCTAGCATTGCTTCACATAGTTTGGATGTTGCCTTCTTACCAGAATCTGTAGAAACAATCTTTGCGATCTGGCTCCGCAGATGACTCAGCTCTTCCTGGAGGTCTGTAGTCCGACTCAAAGCAGGTAGACCCGGTTTCTTCAAAGCCAACAACTTTTCTTCTTGTTTTCTCAAATTCGGGACAGAAGCATTCCTCTGAATGACGAAAAACGGGGTGGGTTTCCACTTGTGCTTTAGCGGACGAGTGTCTGTCCTAAAAGTCAAGAACCCAAATACTTCAATGAAACTGGCATGGGGGCGCAAAATATCGCTCAAATGAAAATTATGCTTGTTAGCTATTCTTCAGAGATCTGCTATTCTGAAAGCATCCACTTTGCACGGCTCATTCATCCCTTCTCTTTCTGTTCCTCAGACAACTGTAATTCCACTACCAGATAAATTGGTTATTGGAAATTCCATAGCCTATTGGAAATAATTGCACCATAACCTTATTAGATGTTACATCCATTTGGCAAATGTAAATCTCCATGAACATAGAGACCACCTTTTGAAAACCACTAGTTAAGAAAAGCATGACCTTGTTAGAACAAGTGATATTCACAAGCATTCATGTAATGGCATACAGGTAACTCAGCTGTTAAACTGAAGAACCGTGTCTTTGAACTGCCAAGAATAAAGACATGCCTCTACAAAAATATATTTGGTTAGCAGAGGATGGTTGTTTCTTTGCAGTTGTAACTTGCAGTTGCAATTGCCCAAAAGATATACACTCCCTTGAAACCTTAGTTAAAATATGCACTCAGCAATAAAAAACAAAGTCTTTGAAAAATAACATATCTTTTTTACTAATATACAACTTGTATTGATTTACCATACAGGCACATTTCTTATTAAAGTTCAGTTATGAATAGGGTGTAGTTTCTGTGTTGAGTACACAGAATATCATTCTTTATCAACAGCCCATAGTCTTTATGCATAGTTGTACTCACAAAAGTCCATAAGTCATACATGCATCCATTAAAGTCCAAACAGCAACCTGCTTTCATTGAAGACCAAACACATACATCTACCTCCATTGAGGTAGGAAGCAAACACATGCACCTCCAATGAGGTCTACAGTAAGCTGAATACAAAATGGTGTCCTGAGTCTGAACATGATCAGTACAATCACATGTCTATAACCCCTCTAAAATCAAACAGGTAAGCCAAACTGGCAATTTATTTATTTATTTAGGACATTTATCTCCCGTCCTATCTTGATCTCCCGGTGGCGCAGTGGGTTAAACCCCTGTGGCAGCAGGACTGAAGACCAACAGGTCACAGGTACAAATCCAGGGAGAGGCGGATGAGCTCCCTCTATCAGCTCCAGCTCCAGCGGGGACATGAGAGAAGCCTCCCACAAGGATGATAAAAACATCAAATCATCCGGGCGTCCCCTGGGCAATATCCATGCAGACGGCCAATTCTCTCATACCAGAAGAGACTTGCAGTTTCTCAAGTCGCTGACACGATAAAAAATAAAATAAAATCTTGACCTCCTCCGAGGGAAGTAATGCTACCCCTCTATTCCGCCTTGGTTAGACCACACCTGGAATATTGTGTCCAGTTCTGGGCACCACAATTGAAGGGAGATATTAACAAGCTGGAATGTGTCCAGAGGAGGGTGACTAAAATGATCAAGGGTCTGGAGAACAAGCCCTATGAGGAGCGGCTTAAAGAGCTGGGCATGTTTAGCCTGAAGAAGACAAGGCTGAGAGGAGATATGATAGCCATGTAGAAATATGTGAGAGGAAGTCACAGAGAGGAGGGGACAAGCTTGTTTTCTGCTTCCCTGGGGACTAGGACACGGAACAATGCCTTCAAACTACAAGAAAGGAGATTACATCTGAACACGAGGAAGAACTTCCTGACCGTGAGAGCTGTTCAGCAGTGGAACTCTCTGCCCCGGAGTGTGTTGGAGGCTCCTTCTTTGGAAGCTTTTAAATAGAGACTGGATGGCCATCTGTCAGGGGTGCTTTGAATGCAATATTCCTGTTTCTTGGCAGGGGGTTGGACTGGATGGCCCATGAGGTCTCTTCCAACTCTATGATTCTATGATCCTGAGCTTACACATAGAATACAAGTTAGCAAATATATACATTAACAATAAATAGTGAAAGGCTTGGGAGGTTGCTATTTCCAACATTGGTAAGCAAGTATGCCCCTCCTCTGAGAAAATATGACCAGAGATGGCCATTTTGTCACTCCAGGACATAAACACTACGGATAACCAACATATTCAAATAACACTTGCAGAACTTTCCTATGAGAACAGTTTTTAGTAGAAGTGATACAAAACTGAGCCATCAATATGCATGAATCAGTCTGTTGCCACCTCCCAGGACTCGAAATTATTCTATGAGAGTCCTACCATTCAAAGAGAAGGAAGAAAAGAAACAGTAAAATAATGAAAGTTTTTAAATTTTTTTAGCAAGCATTCAGTTTATGAGCCGAGACTTGCCAAGAAGAGAGTTCATTAGACATGTAAGAAAAGGGGGAAAGGAACTACCTGACTCTAGCATATGTCTCTTCATCATCAGATGCTATCCATGCCACATCTGCCAGTGTAGGGACTGGAGGTGTATCATTTAAATAGAGATCTGAAACATTTGGTAGCTCCTAGAGGAAGGAAGAGAATGCAATGAATATTATCATGCAATACTGTTGGGGGAAAAAAAACCAATTCACTACTAAATTTCCTTTATAAACCAATTCCATGTCAATTTAAAAGACAAGTGGGATCTTCAAAAAAAATGCTGTAGTATATTTTCATTCTCTACCAGGAGAGCTCAGGTCAAGGTATCAGCCAGTCATGCCTTCTTTCCAGGCCACTTTCAGTTATTTCAATCTCAAGAAACCCAAGGTATTCTTCCTCAATTATTTTCCAACCAAGGAAATGAGTTACGTCAAGACAGAATAATTCTCCATCTTTCGGCAAGCTTCACAGCTCAAGGTTCTTCTCCAAACTTGACATTATGCCAGCATTGCAAGGATAGGATTCTGGGTCTAAAGCAAAGGTTTCTGCAAAAGTATTTATGCTCACTTCAGTGGACATCTAAACTAACATTACAGACCAATATCAATGACAAAGTTTAACCGCTTTGAGTCCCCCCAGGGGTGAGAAAAGTGGTATATAAACACAGCAAGTAAATAAATAAATGAGCCCCCGGTGGCGCAGTGGGTTAAACCCCTGTGCCGGCAGGACTGAAGTCCGACAGTGTTTTTTGTAATCTTTACTCTAACAGCAACACCAGATGATGTTATATTTTAATATTTTAGGTTTATTCTGAGCTGTTTGGGGAATCCAGGTCAATATAGAAAAGAGGCATATAAGCAAACTAAAAATGATGTAAGAGCATCATCTGCTGGTCAAACAAAATACATCTAACCCAGCATTTTGTTTCCAACTACAGGGTGCAGCAGCATAACTTCCTTTTTCAAAACTTAATAAAACTCATTGTATGAATCAGATTTTTTATATATAATATAGGCGCATACCTAAAGTTTTGTTTTTCCGTAGTTTTGAAGATCAAATTTGGTAGGTGACGTCCCCCATTCTCCATACACTGAGTAAACCGATTTCCGGGCGTTTGTCATGACTCTTGCCAGCATCGCAGACGTTATGTTGGCATTTTCTTCCTAGATGTTGGTCTTCAAATTTTGTAGGGTCCTTGGACGGTTCACATAAACACGAGATTTCAAAAAACCCCATAGAAAAAAACCACAAGGGGCCAAATCTGGAGAGCAGGCCGGCCACTCCAAATCTCCTCTAATTGAGATGAGGCGCTCTGGGAAGTGTTCCCTCAAAACAGCCATCGATGCTCTTGATGTGTGTGCAGTTGCACCGTCTTGTTGGAACCAAATGTCCCCTTAGTCCAACCCATCTAGTTGTGGGAAAAAAAATCCTGTAACATGTTTATATACCGGTCCGAATTCACTGTCACTGCGACTTCATTTTCCTCAAAAAACCAGGGACCAATAATTCCAGCTGAGGAAATTGCACACCACACTGTGATTTTAGGTGAATGCAAAGGCCTTTGATGCAATTATCGAGAATTGTTGTCAGCCCAGTAGCGCATGTTTTGTTTGTTGACGGATCCACACAAATGAAAAAAACAATAGCGTCCTCAGGAACAACTTTGAGAAGAACCTCACACGTGTTCCTCCCAAGAATTGAAGTCACGTACAGAAAGTTCTTGCACAATCGCCATCTTGTAAGGATGGAAATGAATATCATCATGAAGAATTCTACTCACAGAACGATCGGAAAGTCCAAGGGCAAACACATGTTTGTGCGTAGAACGCCGTGGTGATCGCAACATTGAAGCTCTCACTGCCTCAATGTTCTCAGGTGATTTAATGGGTCAAGGGACTCCAGTTCTTCGTCTTGTCGCACTTGCAGTTTGTCTGAATGTAGTGACTCACGTCACAATTGATTTCCGGTCCAGGACAGGGGTCAATGGGGCTAAATTAAAGCGAATCCGAAAGGCGCGCTGGGTTGTGATCACAGAACATCCGCTTGAAAAGTAGGCCTCAACGGCAAAATCACACTCCTCACTGTTCCAACGCATTATGGCGACTGAACTGTGTCAGGACAAAACTTTATACTCCCGCCTCTTGAACAAGACCACTAGCGCTCCGCTACGTCTTCAACCGACTGAATGGTGCGCATTTTAAAAAAGGAAGTTATGCTGCCGCACCCTGTAGTCATGGGCCCGGTATTTGTCTCGTTTATTTTATGTTTTCATTTCGTATCGTTCATTTGTATGGCACGAAACAGTACACCCCTTTCCAGTACGGAAAAAAAAGTGAAACCAAAAGAAAAGCCTGCTTTTCGGACCACTGAACCCTGCCTGTCAGGCGATTCAGCAGAGGAGAAGAACGCCATCCGCCTCGCCTTCTGCCTGCCTTGCCCACCACCACTCTGCAGACTAAGGGGAAAGCATCACATGTGGTATCTTAAGACCTGTCTTTAACCTCAATTCTCTTCTGCAAATGGAAAGTTAAACTCTGAATTAGTGGAATCTTAAGCCTTGTCTTTACACTCACTTATATTCTGCAGGTGGAGAGTTAAACATCTCAGAATTAATGGAATCTTAAGGCCCATCTTTACAATCATGTCTCTTCTGTAGATGGAGAGTTAAACTTCTCAGAATTAGTGGAATCTGAAGTAACTCTGATGCTATTAATCCAGGTCGTAATGAAGGATATAAGTACAAACCAAGCCATGGTTCTAAGGAGATTTTATTTATAGAAAGCAAAAAAACCCCTAAAAATCGTGGGATGACGCAAATATTATAAAACTTGGTGGGCAAAGAATAGCCCAGTGTACCTGTCCGAACGTATCTCCTTCTATGTCCCACCTCTGAGTTTAAGATCTTCGGGGGAGGCCCTGCTCTCAGCCCTGCCTCTATCACAAGTGAGGCTGGTGGGGACGAGAGACAGGGCCTTCTCGGTGGTGGCCCCTCGCCTGTGGAATTCATTCCCCGGGGAAATTAGGTCATCAACATCCCTCCTCTCCTTCAGAAGGAAGTTGAAAACATGGATATGGGACTAGGCCTTCGGGTAATCAGCAGACTGGCAAGGTAATGACGACCAGAAATTGGAATAAACTATGGTAATGTTGAATGGACTTATGGATATTAGAACTCGGTGAACGATGGCCACTAGATTGGCTTTTAATTGTACTGTTTTAATTGATTGTTTTATTGTGTTATTACTGTTATGTAATTTATCTGTTGAATTTTTGGCATCGAATTGTGTCGGTTGTAAGCTGCCCTGAGTCCCCCTTGGGGGTTGAGAAGGGCGGGGTAGAAGTGCCCGAAATAAATACAAATAAATAGATATGTCCTCCATGTGTAGCAATTTTCACCCTTCTAGTCCTACAACTGAGGGGAAGGGGAGCCTGAGAAGGACACTCACGTTGGCCAAAGGTCCAAACATTTTCGTTCTTTCAGATGCTGAATGAAACGTCCATTCAGATAGGCGCCCCATTTTCAGAAGCAGTGAACAAAAATGAAAACAGGGCCAAAGGAATGAAACAAAATGCAACAGATAATAATTCCATACAAACACATGAGAATGTTTCCAACAGGATTCTGTCAATATTTTACACATACTCCTAAGGCTAAAAGCTTTAAAGGTATCAGTAGGATTATCAACCTTTTTAATCAGCACCCTGATTTCCTAAAATGTCTTTTAAAGGCAAGATACAAAGGATTAGGCGACATGATGTATATCGCAGGCTCAGTAGGATAAACAGTATGTTGTAAAACAGGGGTGGGCAATTATGGAGGGTATGGGAGCCAGTTCTGTCCTAAAACCCACTCCATGGGCCACACTTGAGCACCTTGTGCCATATCATTTTGAATTTGAGTGTCAAACTTGATTAGTTTGCTTGATTAAATTGATGGGGAATGTGATGGGGCAAATGTGTTGAAAATTTTGCAATACTTTTGATCTATTTGAAGCAATTTTGGACAAAATATGCCCCGGTTTTTTAAAATAGCCCTATTTTAAAGAGAACTTAAGAAATGTTGGTGCTCATAGGTCAGGATTCTTTTAGAGGCATCTGTATGCAGAAGTGATTCTGGTTTTGATTTTCAGTCACTTGGCGTAAGAATTAATCCCTACTCCCTGTACTTGACAAACTTTGCCCAACAGAATAAAGACTTATGGAAAATATGACTGAAAATGAATTTTTAAAAACCCACTGATAGATGGCAAATGTAATCTTCCCACATAGAACACTAATATGTTGGACTACACAATGCTTAGTCCATTGTCAAATACAAAACAATTCCCTCGAACAACAAGAAAAGTTTAAACCACAGGACTTCCCCCAAAGTGTGCAAAACATCAGCATTTTACCTGAAAGCATGCTCTTGGGCACGGTTTTAAAGGAAGATTTGTTCCAATTCTTCTCACGAAGCTGCGCGAAGAACCATGTGGTTTGTTCTGCCAAATTGGAATAGTCTGAGGGTCAAAAATATGTTTAATATATTAAATATGCTGCATTGTAAATTATATAGGAAATTTAAAAAGTTCTGTTTTAAAGACTGCATCATAAATTTCATGAAACACTGAATGTTCCAAGGCTAGTGAATGAATAGTGGCAGAAGAGTACCACATGCTCAATGGTACTCTTGCACCGGGACTGTGGTGCAGCTGTCTGGGTGTCAGCTGCATTAAGATCACTTCTAACCACAAGGTCATGTGTTCGAAGCCAGCCCGGGTCGGAGTGAGCTTCCGACCAATTGTGTAGCTTGTTGTCGACCTTTGCAACCCAAAAGACAGTTGCATCTGTCAAGTAGGAAAATTAGGTACTACCTATGTGTGGGGAGACTAATTTAACAAAATTTACGAGGCCACAAAAAAGACTCCAGCAAAAGCATGCGGGGAATGCGGAAGCACTTCATCAGTGTCGCAGACACGATGAAAGCGACAGCTCCCCTGGCAGCCAGAAAAAGTTAAACAGCCTCTGACTGTTTGTCTATATCTGTTGTGTGTCTTTGGCATTGAATATTTGCCATATATGTGTACATTGTAATCTGCCCTGAGTCCCCTGCGGGGTGAGAAGGGCGGAATATAAATACTGTAAATAAGTGCTGAGTACACTATCAGCAATAACCATTTAATGGAGCTTAAAGGCAGCTTCAAATGCTTGGCGGCTAGACAATGCACACAGAGAATGCATGCTGCAGCATTAATGCTAATCAATGTGCTTCAATGTCTAATCATATTGTAGGATGAAACCTGTCTCAACAGAATATAAAACCTTTTTGTGGACACCCAAAATGCTCTACTGCTGCAGAAATGTGCTGAGCTTTAGTACAGCTGTTTAATCACCAGCAGCAATAGATCTTTCCCAACCAAAAGGTTTGGAGCCCGGGTGGGGGTGAGCACCTGACCTTCAGCCCAGCTTACTGTCCACCTAAGCAGTTTGAAAACAGCTGTAGCTGTGAGTAGAGAAATTAGACACCACTTAAACGGGAGGCATTTTACGGCACCATAAGAAAGTCAGTAATCAAAGAACAGGAAGAAAGTTTGTGATCAAAAAGGCTCGTTGTTAGAGAATGGAGCGACAGCACCCAGTGTGGCCAGAATTAAGCATAACTTCCAGGCCGCCGTAGTTGGAAAAATGCTGAGACAAATACCTCCCTAAATATTTCTATCTGCCCTGTATGTCTAACGGCATTGAATGTTTGTCATGTATGTGTTCTGTGATCCGCCCTGAGTCCCCTTCTGGGTGAGAAGGGCAGAATATAAATGGTGTAAATAAATAAAATGTTGATTTTGGTGGGAGGAATTAAAAACCACACATTTTCTGGGCTGTCAAGCTCCTGTGGATCCTGTAATTAGTTTGAGGCCATCCTCTGTAGTATGTGTAATAATCACCATCCAGGGCTCAAACTGGTTCCATGATTTCCTATGTAATCACCTTCAATACCAACTTGAAACTGACTAAGTAGCCAGTGCAGATGTGCTCTTAGTGACAGTATGTTACTGAGGAATGTATCAATATAGGGCACTGCCCCACTCCCTAACATCTGTGGAAGTTGCTGTCAGGATTTCTATTCTGCTCCCGCCTGTGTTGCCACATAATACATCACAGCAGCAGCACAATTATGCAGAGAAGCCTACTTTCATATGCTGGTCACACAAAATCAATTCCAAGCACTTTGTGAGAATGGATGAATACAAAGCATGTAATTAAAGATGATAAATTTAACTATGTCAACCGTGACCCCACTCAGGAAGGCTTCTGGATTTTCATTACCAGACAATATAATCATTTTGATCCAATATTTAAAGTCTGTTGTGTTGGATGACTTCAGCCACAAAGGAAAAGGGAACTTATGTTTTAACCCATTAAGAAACGTTTAAACAGCTATTTCTGTAAATATGTCACAACATATTCCAGGATCCCTGTCACCAATCATGTTTATATCTTACACGTTTAATGCTTATTTTGCAGGAGAGTTATTGTTATCCAAAGGCTGTGGAATGAGCCACCTTACATAAAAAATTAATTTATGGAACATCTAATATGTTGTTTCAGGTTTTGTATTTCAGCATGTATATTTTAAATGCAAAAAATCCAAGTAAACAAACAGAAATGGAACCCGAATGAAGACAATTTAAAGTTGAACCTATTGGAAATGACAACCTTCTTCAAGTCTTCTCTAGTAATATTTATCTATGATCCTGTTGCTTACTGTTTCCTATATGTATGTTCTGGTATGCAGTTTCCTTTACTCTATGGTTCCTGAGAAATTATAAAAGGGGCTGCAGACCACATGCTCTTTCTCTCTTTCTCCTTTTTTGACTATGTGATCTGTTTTTGTTTGTTTTTTCGTGTCAGGAGCGACTTGATAAACTTCTGGTGTGAGAGAATTGGCCATCTGCAAGGACATTGCCCAGGGGACACCCAGATGTTTGATGTTTTACCATCCTTGTGGGAGGTTTCTCTCATGTCCATGCTTGGGGAGCTGGAGCTGACAAGAGGGAGCTCAACTTGTTCTCCCTGGATTCAAACCTCTGACCTGTCAGTCAGCAGTCCTGCTGGCACTAGGGTTTAACCTGGATTCGACCTGTTGATAGCTGTTTTGTTACAAGAGAGATGTCCTGGCTTGCTGGAACAGAGTACCATCTCAAAGCTATTTGAAACTGGACTGATACGTTTTATATCGGTGTACGCTGAACACATGATGATTGTGAATAAACCATCTATGTTATTTTTATCAAAATCTACTTGATTTTTGTCTCTTTGAGTGCATGATATAAAACAAATTGTTTTATGGGAGAGTATACTTTTGGGCATTGAAAAACACTACTGAATCACTGCTGTTTTTAATGAACTGGCAAAATCTGTTTTCCTAAAAGATCAGAGATAACTGTCTAACAACTGGATATTCAGTCTAACAACTGAAACCATTGCCTTGCATAGTTATATAGACCACAAGAGAAGATTCTACTCTAAAGGGTTTTGGCTCTTCTCTGAAAGGTCATAAAGGTAAAGTTTTCTCCTGACATTAAGTCTAGTCGTGTCCGACTCTGGAGGGTGGTGCTCATCTCCCTTTCCAAAACTGAAAAGCCAGCATTGTACATAGACGCCTCTAAGGTCATGTGGCCAGTATGATTGCATGGAGCACCGTTACCTTCCCACATAAATGGTACCTATTGATCTACTCACATTTGCATGTTTTCGAACTGCTAGGTTGGCAGAAGCTGGGGCTAACTGCAAGAGCTCACCCCACTCCCTGGATTCGAACCACCAACCTTTCGGTCAGAAAGTTCAGCAGCTCAGCAGTGTAATCCACTGCTTCATCAAAGGGCCCCTGAAAGGTCATGCTTTGCTAAAAAAAAGTTATGATCTCCAAAAGGTGTTTTTACAAAAGGTTATAAATGCCATTTTAAACCTTGCCCCCAAAACCTTGCAATATTTTCTGATGTCTCTATAACAGTATGCATTTATCTGTTTGTAAACCAAACATCTAATAGGATTTTATATAATTCTTTATCTAGAATATGTATTGCCCAAGTAGTTTTATATATTTAAAATGTGTTTAAATATATGTTTTTCATTTTGCCTCTATCTTGAATCAATATTATTTTTAAAATAGCGTTAATATTCTTCATTTTGACGATTTGGCATTATGTAATTATATGATTGTATTTTTATGTTTTAGTGAATTATGGGATGTGATGTTTTAAACTACTGTTTATAAATCTTTTGTTGTGAACCGGACTGAGTCCCTTTGCAGAAGTTGAGAAGACCGGTATACAAAAGTTCTAAATAAATAAATAAATAAATAAATAAAATATTCTAATTTCTGAAGTGATACTTATTCTTCAATGGGCTGAGTTAATTATATAAGTAAAGTAATAACAAAATCGTTTCAACCTTTAACTAGATACAGAGTGGCATTATTCACTTCACTTAGGCGGGACCAGCGACATTTTCCTTTCCCCTCAGACTCTACCTTGTGTCACTTGAATTCCTTTATCCCCAATTTGCTGCTATACTCTCCTATTCCTCTTCTTAGAGCTACTTCCTTCTCCATTACATAACCCGTCATTTATAGTCTGCATAGTAAATGCAATCATGCTATAACACCACACAGACAGATTCGGCTAAATTGTGTTACAACTATATTGTTCTGAAAGGGATGGAGGATTAATTTTAACCAGGATAACACTAATCTACCAATTCACCCACATTGCACTATGAGAATTAAGTGGAATATCTCAACCAGGTTTCCCAGAGCTTAAGTATTACATTCCAAAACGTTAAAAAACTCTATACTTACCGAATCTGCTTCCATTTCAGATGAAACCGGAAATACAAATTAATCAAAGGCCCAAATTGTTGTCCCACAAAGTATGCACTAGCTTCATAGTATTTCGCCTGTGAAGAAAATTATTTGCTTATTATGAATGCAGATGAGGGAACATATGCATCTGTTTCTGTAAAGTTAATGAGAAAAGCACCGTTAAAAAGAATACCAATAACATTTTATTTATTTATTGCATTTATATACTGCTTTTCTCACCCCTGGGGGAGGGGGGGGGTTAAAGTGTACATCAAGTAATGGCAAGATTCAATGACAACATACATACAAACCAAAGCACAGTAACTAAAACAATGACATATAACTTGTACCATGGGAAGTCAGAATTGGCCACGGTGGTCCACGTTCTGGTTACATCCCTTATAGATTACTGCAACGTGCTCTACATGGGGTTGCCTTTGAAGACTGTTGAAGCTTCAGTTGGTCCAATGGACAGCAGCCAGGTTGCTCACCGGAGCGACATTCAGGGAGCACACAACCCCCTTGTTGTGTCAGCTCCACTGGCTGCCAGCCTGCTACCAAGCAAAGCCCTAAATGGTTCAGGCCCAGTTTACCTGTCCAAATGTATCTTCCTCTATAAACCACCTCTGAGATTAAGATAATCTGAGGAGGCCCTGCTCTTGGTCCCATCTCCCTCACAGGCATGACTGGTGGGGACAAGAGACAGGGCCTCCTCAGTGATGGCCCATCAGCTGTGGAAATCCCTCCCTAGTGACATTAGATGAGCCCCCTCATGCTAGCTTTCAGAAGGAAAGTAAAAACCTGGCTCTGGGATCCAGCTTTTGGAGATGTAGCACTGCAATTATAAAATTGGAAGATGTACAATGACTACAGAACTGCCTTAGACTATGATTTTTGAACAGTGTGATTTTAATACTGAATCTATATAAATAAAAATGTAATGTTGGTTTGTGGGATTAACATAACTCAAAAACCACTGGACGAATTGACACCAAATTTGGACACAATACACCTTTCAGGTCAACGAGTGACCATCACTCATAAAAACTGGAAAACACAGCAAAAGAGACTTAAAAGCCAAAAAAAATAAAATATACATTACAATGCATGCACAAAACCACATATATACACATATACACAAATATATACACACACAAAACACATATACACAGACTGGGCCTCAGCAACGCGTGGCAGGACATGGCTAGTAGAATTTTAAAGGCTTAATATGTATTAATTTTAATTCAAGTGAATTTAAGTTTACTGTTTGTATGTGTTTAAGACACTGAATATTTCCATTTGTAAGCCGCCTTGAGTCCCCCTTGGGTGCAGAAAGGCGGGATATAAATAGGGTAAATAAATTAAAAAAAATTAAAACCATTAAAATCATATTAAACATAGAATATAAACATTTAAACAATTAAAACACAGAATTAAAACATCTTAATAGTAACATTAAAATAACATAATCCAAAATTGTAATCCAAAGTCATTTTTATGCTGTTACAAAACTGTAATCTCAGGTTGAACTGACTCAAAGATTCTGGGATCAGAAAAAGTACAATTAGTTATGTAGTCTAGAGCATAAAGAAGGTACGGCACAGCACACTCTAAAGAACCTGTTCCTGCTAGATGCTTAAAGACATCCTTAAAATCAATTCCGCCTGACTTTACAAATTGCACTGGTAATATGTTTTACTGTTCAACTTTAGTAACAATGAGAATAATAGTTATGCAATAGGGCAAGCTCTTCAAAACAAATAAACGTCGCATTATAAACAAAGAGCCAGCTGCTATTACAAGTAGTATTTCAGTGTATCAAAATGCAGTCTAATTGACATTTAGGAAACATGTTTCCATCAGCTCAGAGCTGAGAACAGAAACCAAGACTGTGAGCCAGCACAATCTTGGAACTCCTCCAGCCTTGAACATTTTTTTCCTGTTTCCATTTTATTCTTCCAGAAGCAACCTGCCAACCACATGAAGCAATACTAATAACCTATCAAGTAACATGGGAAAAAGCTAATGCATCTTTGTCTAGGCTATTATATATGGATACTGACCAGGATTTTGTGAGAACAGAAAGATTCAATGAAAGAAAGTCCTCTTTTCTACTTAATTAAACTGGCAACATGAGTATGGAAGAGTCTAACAGAAGATGATGGCAAAGGCTGCTGCAGACAGAAAAGTACTTACGACACATTTATTTATTTATGACATTTATATGCCGTCCTTCTCACCCCGAAGGGAACTCAGAGCAGCTTACAAGATATATATACATACAATATATATTATTAGCATAGTACAATATCAGTATTATATATTACTAGCCGTCACCTGCCATGCATTGCTGTGGCCCAGTTCTGTGTATATGTCTTTTGTGTGTGTATATATGTGTTTATGTCTATGTATATATTTGTGTATATATGTGTTTGTGTGTGTATATATATGTGAGGATATATTTGTGTATTTGTGTATATGTGTGTGCTTGGGCATATGCATATATGTTTGTATGTATGTGTATATGTATATGCATGTAGGTGTATGTGTATGTATATGTGTATATTTGTGTGTGCTTGCATATATATATATGTATGTCTGTATGTATGTGTGCATGTGTATATGTATATTTTTGTGTTTATATGTGGATATGTATATTGTGCATATGTGTGTGCTTGTGTATATGCATATATGTGTGTTTATATGTGTATGTATATGTGTGTGTGTATGTATGTATATATATATATATATATATAACGGTGCTCCATGCAGTCATGCCGGTCACATGACCTTGGAGGTGTCTACAGACAACGCTGGCTCTTTGGCTTAGAAATGGAGATGAGCACCAACCCCCAGAGTCAGACATGACTGGACTTAATGTCAGGGGACTACCTTTACCTTTAATGTATATATATGTGTATATGTAAGTGTATGTATATATATATGTATGTAAGTGTGTGTGTGTGTGTGTGTATATATATATGGTTTATTTTGGGGGTTTTTTAAGTCCGTTCTGCTGGTTTTTTTGGTTTGTTTTTAGGGGTGATGGACACTCATTGGCGTGACTGGTGTCTTGTGGCCAAATTTGGTGTCAATTCGCCCAGTGGTTTTTGAGTTATGTTAATCCCACAAACGAACATTACATTTTTATTTATATAGACTATATTGTACCATACCTTTATATTGTAATATTATTAGTAATATTACATGGACTATAAAATATATAATTATAATATCATATTATTATTATTACTATTATATTGTATTACCTCACCTCAATGTGAACTTCCCAGGGTAACCAGAAGAAGCTCAGTGGCGTCTCATGATGGAAGCGTCGTTGGATTCTGTTCACATTTTCCACAGATATAGAGGACAGCTTTGCAATCCAAAGCCCTGCTGTTATTCCTGACCTGGCGTGAGGGCTCTATAAAATGAAAACAAATTTATGTACTGAAATTAAAAAGAAATAGTCCTGACTAAACCTCCTGATTCTGGCTCTGACCAGCTGGTAGTTTGTTTGTTTATTTATTTATTTACTACATTTATATACCGCCCCTCTCAGCCCAAGGGCGACTTGGAGCGGTTTATCAATAGGCAACAATTCGATGCCACAACAGTTACAACAATTAAAACATTCATAACTACTATTAAAACACTAACAGCAAAACAAAAATATATATAAACCATACATAGCATTAAAAACATTATCAAAGTGTCTCCATATCAGATCACTGTCCAGTTGCGTCAGTGGTCCAAAATATCATATAGTTATGCCGTATTTGGGAAGGCCTGCTCGAAAAGCCAGGTTTTCACCTTTCTTCGAAAGGTCAGGAGGGAGGGGGCCGACCTTATCTCTCTAGGCAGGGCATTCCAGTCGAGGGGCTACCGCTGAAAAGGCCCCGTCTCTCGTCCCCGCCAGACGCATCTGTGAGGAAGGCGGGAACGATAGAACGTTCTGTCATTTCCAATCATAAAGAGAAGTAACAATAATTATTCTCTTTCCTCTTCTTGGTCAGTGTTTCCAAGAGCCAGATGAGACCTGGAACCACTGACCAAAAGTACTTTTGCTTCTCCTTTCCCATGAAGGAAAGAGGAACAGGGACAAAACTGTGGTATTTGCAAGTGGTGCTCTCCACTTTTGTTATGCTGTGAAGGTTTCTCATCGCGGTTAGGATCCTCTTATTAGTATTTGGGTGATAAAAAAGAATACATACTGCAAAAATAAACCATGTTCAGGTCTCAATCCAACTAACTAGCAGAGCAATTCCAAAATACAATATTTTCAGGGTTTGCTGAGTTTCTTGATTTTGAGCAAAGAGGCACTATGATGCAACCAGGCATAGGGTTCAAACTCCAGTGCAGTCAACATATCAATCAGTTGTTCTCAACCTCAGCATCGATGTTTTAGAGAATAAACTAGATGTTAAATATAAAGCATTTTGCATAAAGTGGTATCATTAAAAGGAATACAATTTTGATAAAAACAATATGCCTAAAATTGACAATCCCATACAAAAATTGAAAATGAGAGTTAGATTAAAGTATAAGTTAAACAAAACCACTTTTTGACGGAAAGGGAAGGAAAGGTGGGTCCAACTGAAAAAAATAAAGGTGAACTGATTTTTCTTTTTAAAAGGGACCCACATCTTTAAAAAAATAAAGTGAGAGAGTCCAGATATAGGGGACAGCAAGGGAGAGCATGAGAAGCAACTGCAGAAAATGTGTTGTCGAAGGCTTTCATGGCTGTGAGTTTTCCGGGTTGTATGGCCATGTTCCAGCAGCATTCTCTCCTGATGTTTCGCCCACATCTGTGGCAGGCATCCCCAGAGGTTGTGAGGTCTATTGGAAACTAGGAAAGTGAGGTTTATATATCTGTGAAATTTTCACAAGAAATGTAATATGCAGATTTGATAAATGCGGATTTAATATGGTGTGTAGGTATGAATGGAATTGTATGAAAGATGAGTGAGAGCTAATAATTTTGGAAACACCATTCTAAAATATTAAGGCCCATGACTATTATTTATTTATGACATTTCTACCCCCATCTTTCTCACTCCAGAGGGCACTCAAGGCAGCTTTACACAAAGGAAACGATTCGATGCCTTAAAACACAATGTACACATAAATACATATTAATATAGAATTAAAAGTATATTAAAACAATTAAATGTTTTAAAACAATGCAATACCTGCTTCATTGACTGTAATTAAAAGTTGCTAATGAGAACTGGTGGTAAACTGTGATAAGAACTGTGACAGTGATAAGAGAAATGTTTACAATGTTAAGAAGGAAGTCAACACAAGGCTTGTTTGCTAACACCAATCAAGAAGAATCAACATCTGTACAGGATGGAAGACATCTATCATTAATTTACAAGTTTGGGATGACATCAGCAGAATATTCTAATAGAAGACTCAATCTAATAATTCTCAAATTGTGACAGACAGAGATGCTGTTCATGTGCTATGCTCTGCTCCATTGGGAAGGAGAGAGATAGTGTACGTAAGGAGAGTGTCAGATATGCTAAGAGGAAGCAGGATTTTGTACACTTCCCAACAAAGGATTCCCCTAGGCGGCAACCAGCCAGGCTCTGAAGCTGCAAGGCCATTCAGTGCTAATCAAGGTGGCCAGCTACAACATTCACACTTGCCTCAAACAGATAAGAGTTCTTTCTCCCACCCTGGCCTTTCCACAGATATATAAACCTCACTTGCCTAGTTTCCAACAGACCTCATAACCTTTGAAGATGCCTGCCACAGATGTGAGCGAAACATCAGGAGAGAATGCTTCTGGAACATGGCCATACAGCCCAGAAACCTCACAGCAACCCAACTACAGAAAATATATGCTAAAGTTTTCAGTAACTAAAGGAATATTACCTGTAGCACCAGTTAGCACCTCCAATTATTTATCTAATGCAGTGTTTCTCAACCTGGGGGTCGCGAGGGGGTGTCAGAGGGGTCGCCAAAGACTATCAGAAAACATAGTATTTTCTGTTGGTCATGGGGGTTCTGTGTGGAAAGTTTGGCCCAATTCTATCATCGGTGGGGTTGAGAATACTATTTCATTGTGGGTGAACTATAAATCCCAATAACTACAACTCCCAAATGTCAAGATCTATTTTCCCCAAACTTCACCAGTGTTCACATTTGGGCATATTGAGTATTTGTGACAAGGTTGGTCCAGATCCATCATTATTTGAGTCCACAGTGTTCTCTGGGTGTAGGTGAACTACAACTCCAAAAACTCAAGGTCAATGTCCACCAGACCCTCCCAGTATTTTCTCTTGGTCATGGGAATTCTGTGTGCCAAGTTTGATTAAATTCCATCATTGATGGAGATCAGAAGGCTCTTTGATTTTAGGTGAACTATAAATCCCAGCAACTTCAGTATTCCCAAATGACAAAATCAATCACCCCCATCCCACCAGTATTCAAATTTGGGCATATCAGGTATTTGGGATTTGAAAATACATCCTGCATATCAGATATTTACATTACTATTCACAACAGTAGCAAAATTACAGTTATGAAGTAGCAACAAAAATAATGTTATGTTTGGGGGTCACCACAATATGAGGAACTCTACTAAGGGGTCGCGGCATTAGGAAAGTTGAGAAACACTGATTAATGCTTTTCTATATTTTACTATATTTGTTGCAGTACTCAAAAGGAAGAAGTCATCACACATTTACTTGCACAACAGCAACAAGTTTTAATAAATGTCTTAGAAAATCCTGTGCTTAAAATAGCATCCTTTACTCTGAGACAAGGTCAACAGACTGAGACATGCCTCTAACAGTATTACAGCTCAGGCAACTAAGGACAGTTAAACGTGACAGTAAGGCATTATTTGAAAAGTCATTCTGCCAAAGGCATAAGTGGAGTTGATGCTTATCTGTCCTCAGTTCATGTGCTTTTAATATTGACTGTAAATACAGATCTCCACAAAAACTCGCAGCATTGAAAAGGGAAGCCAAAGAGGGATCTAGCAAGGTCAGGAACAGCACATTAGAAAATAAAATTATTGCTGAAAATAATTCAGTTTTCAGAAATGATTTCACTCAATTTCCACTGGCATGAAAGTGTTTCTAAAAATAAAGTGGAATTCCCTTCAGTTTGCATGGATGAATACAGGGCTAAATTCATTTCTGTGTCTGCATGGAAAGATTCTTGGAGGTTTGAATAGGAATGGGTCCAATGCTAATCATCCCTGAGAAAAAGGCCTCGTTTGGACATAGGACTTTTGTTACATGCATTACAAAGAGATAGTCCCCATTTATGTAAAGAGGCAAACGAGAACAATTATAGTGCATTATTACTATGAAACATATAACTGAGAAAATTTGAGAATGAATGACATAATGCACTATAATTGATGTCTGATGCTATTCCCAGTATACATTCCAATCCCAGTGTGGAGTATGAGCTAACAAATGTAACTAAGCAGGTGTCGACAGGCTAGTGATTGGTTTTGTTATTTAACATTATGGTACTTCTACTGCTGGAAGTCCATGCTCTTGTTAGATCTTGCTTAGATTACTGCAACGCACTCTACATGGGGTTTCCTTTGAAGATGGCCAGGAAGCTTCAGCTAGACCAACGGGTGGCAGACAGACTTCTAACTGGAGCATACAACTCCTCTGTTGTATCAGTTCCACTGGCTGCTGTTATGCTACCAAGCTGAATTTAAAGTGCTGGTCTTGGGCTTATAAAGTCCTAAATAGTTCTGTTCCAACTTATCTGTTCAAACACATCTCCTCTTATGAGCCTATTGGAACTTTAAGATCTTCTGGGGAGGCCCTGCTCTCTGTCCCACCTTCTTCTCAAGCACGATTGGCTGGGACAAGAGACAGGGCCTTCTCCGTGGTGGCCCCTCAGCCATGGAACTCTCTCCCCAGTGACATCAGGCAGGCCCCATCCCTTCTGGGTTTTAGGAAAAAGCTGAAGGCTTGGCTCTGTGCACAAGCAGTCGAAGAAAACACTTCTATGGTTTAAACATTGTCTGTATTAAGGATTATGAGCAGGGGTTATGGACGAATTGATCTATGCACTTTATATGCTTTTTAATTTTTGTATATTGATGTGTGTTTTATTGCTAAATGTTAATTGCTTTTAACTGTTTGATTTTTATTGTTAGTACCGGTTTTTACTGACATTGAATTTTTGCCGGAATGGTAAGCCACCTTGAGTCCCTTCGCGTGAGAAAGGCGGGGTAGAAATGAAGTAAATAAATAAATGTGTTAAACTAACTTGGCTGGGTTTTGGGTCTGCAAATGTTTAGTTGGCTTTGCTCCAATGTCTTAAACTGGCTTGGACTCTTTTGGAGTTTTAGGATGCAGCTCTGGCTTTATACCATTAAAGTAAGCTCTGCGACTGGTGAGTCCAAAGCATCAAACCTTCTCACTGATGGAATATAAA